TATATATATATATATATATATATATATATATATGCTTAATCCAGGCCTGAACAGGCTATTTGCAACCTCAGCTTGGAACTGATCAGGGAAAGGGGTGGGATGGGAAAATTTCCGAGTCAGGGAGGGGGGTGGGCACTGAGGACCCTAAGATAAAGCCCTACCTTGGGTTACGGTGGCCAGGACTGCAGCCTGGAATTGGGCTGGTTTCTGGCAACTGGTTCTGGGATTGGTGCCCCTTGACTCCTGGTCCTTCCATGGCCAAAAGCTTGGGGAGCCTTGGCCAGGTAATTGGAAGAGCAGGTCTGGGCGGTATCCAGGCCCCTGTGGACGGACCACAGTATCTAGCTGATAGGGAGAGGGTCTCTCTAGGACCCCAATGGAGACTGAGGGCAGCTGGATGGATGGGGGTCCTTCCCAGAGTGCTTGCCAAGGGCTTTCCTCCGGGAGACCAGGTGACCCTCTCTCCCAGTTATAGGCAGAGCTGACCTTCAGTAGGACCTGGAGGGGCATCACTCAGACATTCAGGTAGATGGGGTCTTATTTCGTCCTCACAGACTTGTGAGGGCTGGAGCTGCTCGGCACATGTATAGTGCCAACTGGTACCCATTTTCTTTGACAAGGCACCCAGGCCTTATGGACAATACAAACGGCTCCTGTTTAACCACCATGGTGAATGTATTTATTTTCAGAAAAAGTTAATAAACAATTGCACCTATTGCTGGTGCAATAAACAATCAATAAACATAATCAAGTCAATAAACAATTGCACCTAATTGCTGCTTCCTGAGCAGGCGCTGCCAGGTTAGTGTCTCTGTCCAGGGTGAAGATGTCTCAGTCACCACCACGTGTGCGGAGCTGGATCTCCATCCTGAGGAAGGCCTTGAGGTTCTCATCTGTTACGTGCTCCTCCAGAGCAGCCAGGGCTCGCTTCCCACCATCCCTGTAGTGCTGCAGCAGTGCCTCTGCATATTCCACCCACACACAGTTAGGGCAGCCGCTCATACAGCAATTTGTCGGGGGCTGGAGCTCAGGTGGTAGAGGGTACAGGGGTTCTGAGGGGCCCCCACTGGGAAGGGAGATCTTGGGCTGCCTGGTGGTGCCCGCACCTGCTTGAGAGCCCCTCTCCAGGTGGTCCATCCCTGACTCTCTTCGGCTGTCACCAGCCCCCACTCGGCCATGGTGCCTGTGAGGAACACTGCCTCCTCCGGGAAGGCTGGGGCAGCAGTTCCAGCTGGAGAGCCAACGGGCCCCCTGAGGATGCAGATAAACACGATTCTTAGGGAAGACGGAAAGGCCTGGCCTGCCCCTGATTCTGAGAATCTTTCAGCCTTCCTGTTGCTGAAGGAAAGGTGACTCCATATCCTCAGCTTCTCCACTTTCACAGAATCTTAGACAAGTTAGCTCACCTCTCTAGACTCAGTTTCCCCCTGTAAGGTGAGCATCAAGATGAGGAAGACATGGCATGGACTCATGGGAGGTGCTAAGTTCAGGGCTAGGCGTTGGGTGTGCATTCAGCAGATGGGACCAGGAAAGGGGGCAATCCTGGGCTCTCGGCCTCAGGACTGCTTCTTCTGGTCTAGCTTTCGCGGATAAGCCCTGCCCATCCGCTGAGGGACCATTCTGAGGAATAGCATCACCTTTACCCTACTTCGCTGTCATATGAGAAGGCCAAGTCTTTCGGGTCTCAGACTCTAAGCCCAGCAGGCTCGGGTCTCCCCCGCCGCCGTACTCGCCCCAGCTACACGACCACCGGCTCCCTATGGACAGACCACTACTTTACGAGCTCCCTCGGGGCGCACAGCCCATCCCCTGGGTTGGAGGGCTCGCAAACAGCAGGCGCTCAGTAGAGGGGTTGGCTGGCCTTCCCGGATCTGGGGCAGATGCAGACAGACTCCACGTTCTCAACCCATCACCACCCTGCTAGTACTTGCCGAACCGCGGACTGCAGCGTCAGCTGCCCGGCCTGCCCCGGCGAAGCTCCTCGGTAGCATAGCAGACGCAAGGAGGCGGCGACTGCGGCCCTGGCCAATCCCAGCCACAGGAGAAGCCGCACCGATTCAATGCGCTTGGGGCTGGGCGCAGGAAGCGGAAGTAGTGTTTGTGGGCGGGGCCGCGCATGAGGGCGGAAGTGGTTTCCTTCTCAAAGCGCCTTGTGTGGCAGATGGCGGGCACTGGTAGGCGAGCGGTATCCCCGTCGGGGTCGGCGGGACCAGGAAGTCCGGGACGGCGGCAAGCGCGGCGGCGGGGGCAGCAGCAGCAGCTGCGAGGGCAGCAGAAGTGCTTGTCCCCACGGCCGGGGCAGCGCGGGTGGGTGACGACCCCGGAGGAGCGGACTGTCAGCGAGCTTTTCTGCACACACTTGGGGCGGACCCAGGGCCTCCTCAAGGGATGGTGCCGTGGCCCACTGTCCGCAAAGATCCGTTGAATGTGTGGAGACGTGAATGCATCTGGTTTTGCCTGTGCTCCGTCCCCAGTATGAGGCCAGCAGTGACAGGCTTCGCGGATTTTTGGAGCGCCTTTCGCTCCGGCATGCTTGGAGAAAGCAGTTCAAGGGACAGGTTGAGAGAAGCGGGCCTTCTCCCTGCCCGTCCCGTGGCCCCGCTGCTCCTCTTTCTAAGCTTGACCTCCTTTTCGAATTCGGCTTGTGTTTTGTTTGGGATGGGTCTCACCCCCGCGTGTTTTCTTTCCCAGCAAAGAAAAGAAGAAAGTGAATTGCAAGCCTAAGAATCAGGATGAACAGGAAATCCCTTTTCGGCTTCGAGAGATCATGAAGAGTCGTGAGGAGATGAAAAAATCCCTCAGTTTCAAGAAGAGGAAGAAGGAGGGTATGTGTGGGTCTTTGCTAGGTGGTAGCAGCTTTGCGCGTCTGACTCTCCCCAGTTGCCCAAATACTGTACTTCATAGCGTTCAGGCAGAGGAAACATGCCAAGACCCAGTGCTGAAGGAACAGGGCAAGGGAAGCAGGATCGAGGGAAGAGCGGTGGCGCCAAACCAAGGAGTGGTGGCAGTGTGGTTCCAGAGGAGACTAAATAAACGAGGAGCTCCTGGAGGGTGGGGGAACAGCTTAGGAGAACCACAGGGCTTCCCCCTCTAGGGGAAGAAGTGTTGATTTTTTTTAATCTCCCAGTGTAACGGAGATCCTCGGGGGTTTTAAGGGGGATGACCAGTTTAGATTTACTTCGAAGGCATCACCACACAATGAAGGGTGTTGGTGGATACGCTCACTGGTCAAGCTGTTACCAGTGAGAAGTGAGGATTCCTTGGACCAGGTGCTAAGTAACAGGCAGAGAGAAGTGGGTGGATTTGGAGATTTAAGGAGGAGAATTACCCCTTTGAAAAGCTTGCCTTTCTCATTCCCTACCCCAGTGTCTAGGTTGGGCCTCATGCCACTCTAGGTATCTTGGACAATGGTGTCAATGTGCTTGTACATTTTATATATATGCATATTTGCTTTTCCCAACTGATTTGACAGCAATACTGTTTTACGATTTTTTTTTTAAATAGCAAAACATTTATTGGTACATTTTAGGCATACGTAAATGGCAACACTCATCATAGGGAATTTGCACCCGTACCTGGTATACCCCACCCTTTTTTCCCATTCTCCGCCTCCCCCCCTTACTGTTTTATAGTTTATGTTTAAACTTTAGCCTTTCCACCAAAGAGATAGTGAAATTAAGAGGTAAGAAAGGGAGGTTAGGGCCGGGGATTTAGCTCAGTGGTTCTGGCGCCTGCCTCCCAAGCGCAAGGTCCCAAGTTCGATCCCCGGTACCAAAAAAAAAAAAAAAAAATTTAAGAAAGGGAGGTTAGGCTGGGGATTTAGCTCAGTGGTTTTGCTGCCTGCTGTGCAAGTGCAAGGACCCGCGTTTGATCCCCGGTACCAAAAAAAAAAAAAAAAAAAAGAAAGGGAAATTAGAAGAGATGCTGGCCCAAGCGGAGGACGGCATTTTTTTTTTCAGTGTTGGGGCTCTGCCCCAGGTCCTTGCATATGCTGGGCAAGTACTGTTCCACAGGGCTGTATTCCCTGACCAGGATGGCACATTTAGAATTGTGCTCCATTGAATGGGTATTTTTTTGGTTAAATTATTTTAAAAATATAAACTCAGGAGGCCGGGAATGTAGTTCCGTTGTAGAGTGCTTGGAGAGCATGCTCAGGGTCCTGAGTTGGATCACCAGCACTGGATAAAAGTGTGTGTGTGTCTGTGTATGTGTGCGTGCAAGCGTGCACACGTGCAGATGTGTACTCTTATACTTGGTAAAGTCTAACAGTTCTGAGTGGTATGAAGTAAAATGTGAGCCTCCCACCTATAAACATTGATCCTTCCCCTTGAAAGAAATCATTGTTTATTTTCTGTATAACCTTCCCTGGAGAGGTATTATTCATATTTTCATAACTTTATGATGTAAAACTTATATATTGTTCTATGGTCTATGTTCATTTATAGGATCTTTTCACATCCATATGTGTAGCTTTGGGGCCAGGGATTTAGCTCAGTGGTTCTGGCGCCTGCCTTGCAAGCGCAAGGTCCTGAGTTCAATCCCTGGTACCAAACAAAAAACAAAAAAAACCATATGTGTAGTTCTGTTGGTCTTGCTTTAGTAGCTGGGTAATGAAATTTGTGGATGAGCAGAAGGGAATTCATAGCTTTTCATTTGCCTTTTTCACTTGTGCTGCAGTGGATAACACAGACCAGAGGCTGTGAGGTCACATCTGTAAAGATGGCCTGAGCTGGGCATTTTAGATCCTCTTTGGCTGCTTGCACTTGAGTCTGGTCTTCTCTTCCTATGGTCTTGTGAAAGCCGGGGATTTAGCTCATTTGCCCCAAACCTGCCTCACAAGCACAAGGTCCTGAGTTCAATCCCCAGTACTGGAAAAAAAAAAAATCACCTATGGTCTTGTGAGGGGAAGTGAGCTTAGATCACTTGCCTGGCACCATCTATTCCTTCCTAACTTTCATGCCACACCTTCTCTGGGGTCCTCCTTTGTCCTTAGCCCAGGTGGCCTTCAGGAACACTCTGGAGAAGGAAGCAAAGGGAGTGGAGCCGGATATCATGGTTCCCAAGTTCAAGCAGGGAAAGAGGGAGTCCGATGGGGCTTACATCCAGCGCATGGAGCAGGAGACCCAGTATGTGCTGTTCCTCAGCAAGAACCAGACCAGCCGGCAGCCAGAGGTGCAAGCAGCTCCCAAGAAGGAGAAATCTGAGCGGAAAAAAGCGTGAGTCAGGGGCCAGACAGGTCAGGGTCTGCCTGGAGGCCCTGGGGAGGCAGGGCTGTGGGTTCTGCAGTGACAGTATTTTGTTGCCACATCAGCCCCCTGCTTACTCAATTCAGGAAAACCAAGGGAAGAAGTTAAAGTCCCGGTAAGGGCAGAGCTCAATGGGGAGAGGGGTCAGGTCATGCAAAGACCTTGCTTTGTTTTTTATTTTCTCTGGAAGAGCATGAGGGCTTCAGGGCCAGTTGTCCACCTTGGATTGGCTTCTAGATACTGGGATGTCCCTGAGGGAATCAGTACTATACAGGGATCTGAGTGAAGCTGACATGCAGCCCTGGCCTGGACCTGGGTTGGAGTTGTTTCCAGTGTTCTCCTTCCTGGTCCAAAAGAGATTCCGGAGCCTTTGGCCTGGTTGTTTGTACAAGGTCTATGATTGCTCAGATTGGTGTTCTCATCTGTAAATAATATCGAGATAATGTCACTGTCATAAGGTTTAGTTATGCTCCTTGTACAGTTGCTAAGGATGGTGTCCCCCCAATAGCAACCCTGCCCTCTCCCTCCTGCCTTGATCTCCCTCCTGGCCTGTGGGAGGGCAGGGAGGTGTTTTCAACACGCAGTGTTCTTTCCCTTTTTTTATTTTTTATTTTTTGGCAGTACCAAGGATTGAACTCAAGGCCCTTGCACTGAGCTACATCCCAAGCCCATTATTAAAATTTTTTACTTTGAGACAGGGTCTCACTGGTTGCTCAGGCTAGGTTTAAACTTGCCCTTCTCCTGCTTCAGTTTCCTAGAGTGCTGGGATTACAAGTGTGCACCACCACACCTGGCCAAGCAGTGAGATGCCTTAAGCACAACTTTCCAGATTAACCAACCCAAGGTTTTATCAAAGTTAGGATAAAAATTTCTGTATCTGCCAATTTTTCCTCTTGGTGAGCACAGGGAAGATGTATCTTTTTTTTCTTTGAGACAGGGTCTCACTATGTAGTCAGGCTGGCCTTCCAAACATGATCCTCCTGCCTCGGCCTCCCAAGTGCTGAGATTCCAGGTGTGCGCCACCACACCCAGCTAGGATGTGTCTTTTTGATTCTGTAAAATCTGCAGAGTAGATAGGTTGTAGAGTCTCCCTATTTCTGAGTCCTTGTAGTACTTGTAGTCACATTAAACAAGAGAATTACATCCTAGAAAACTTAATTCATATATAGCCTAAAGGGCTGGGGATTTAGCTCAGTGGTTCTCCTGCCTCCCTTGCAAGTGGAAGGTCCCAAGTTCAATCCCCAGTACCAAAAAAACCACAAAAAAGATATATATATATATACACACACATATATATATATATATATATATATATATATATATATATATATGCACATATATAGCCTAAAGCCGCAGTGGTCTCCAAGTTTATCTTAAGACCTTAGAATTTGGCTGCCATAACTTTCCACAATAGCCCATGCCATGTGTCCCAGACACAGCATGTACTTTTATCTTTGCTGTCTCCCTCTTTTTGTATTTACTTGGCCCAGGATTGCTTTGCAGAGCCAGTTTCTCTCCCACTCTTCATTTCTTCTTTCTCAAATAAACTTTGCTGCTGCTTTTTGCTCAACAACAAAAAAAAGACCTTAGAATTCAGTCATCATAAGGTGCTACAGCACATCTGTGGGACTTTGCTAGGCTGTTTGATTAAAGCAGCACAACCAGGGGCTGGGGATTTAGCTGAATGGTTCCGCCGCCTGCCTCGCAAGCACAAGGACCCGAGTTCGATCCCTGGTACCAAAAGAAAAAAAAAAAAGCACAATCAGCACTCTGGGCAGGATGGCTCTCTGCATTGTGGCTGTCCTGTGCATTAGAGTATTTGGCAGTGTTCCTCGCATGTCCAGTGTTATGGCCCAAGATGTCCACAGACATTATCAGATGTTTCTGGGCTGACAGCCACCAACTGGGAACCCTTCAAGGGCCTGGTGGCTGCAGAGCTCACTCTGGCGGATGGTTGTGGGTTTGAGGATGGTTCAGGGTGTGGGGACCGAGAGTGGCTGCCTGGGGTCAGGTCTCCTCTCTGACCTCGAGAGTGGGGTGGCCCCTGGCCTCTCTTGAATGGAGTGAGCGGTCAGGAATTTGGAAGGCATCGTGCTTTCTTCCCAGGTTCCAGAAACGGCGACTAGATAAAGCCCGGCAGAAAAAGGAGGAGAAGGCAGTGGAGAGGCTAGAGCAGGAGCTACTGCGAGGTAACCCTTCCCAAAGTGGCTCTGTCCCTTCAGACCGGGGTCTGCTCTTTCCACCAACCCCCTTATTTCCCCAAGTCCACAGCCAGCAGGCTAGCAGATGAGTTCATGTTCTGGGTCCTGGCCTTGGGGATGGGAGTGTGGGTGGACAAAGGTGGCAGGGGCTGTGGGCACCAGGGCCAAGGTGACACGTAGGCAGCAGCCCTTTGTCCACTCTGTTCCTCCAGACACAGTGAAGTTTGGAGAGGTTGTCCTGCAGCCCCCAGAGCTGACCGCTCAGCCCAGGAGGAGCACAAGCAGAAACCAGGTATGTAAAGACTAGGTGCGCAGGAGGTGGAGGAGTTATCAGTCTTGTCAGAGCTGCCAGGGAACCAGAGCTAAGCCCAGTGGTGTGTCTGCTGTGGGGTGTGCCCCAGCACCTCACTGGGCTGAGCTGTTAAGAGTCCCAGCCCTTGCCATCTCCCTCGGCCAGCCCATGTCTCAGCTTTCCCTCTCTTCCTCAGCCTGGCAGGAAGTCCCTGATGCTGAAGATGCTTTTGAGCTCTGGCTCTGTGTCCCAGCAGTGTCAGGCCACCTCACTGGCCCGGCAGCGGATTGTGGAGAAGGAGCGGGAGCGGGTTGTGCAGTCCTACCGGGCCCTGAAGAAGCTGAGAGCAGCAGGGGGTGCCACCACCACAGCCGCAGGGCCACACTTCCCAGAGGAAGCCTGAGGCTCACCTATGATGGAGACTTGGGAGTCTGGTACCCAGGGAAACTGGCCGGTTCAAAGTGCCACGTGCGCCCGCACCCCACGCAGCCAATGCTTCGGAGGCCAAGGGGTGGGCCCGCAAGTCCACACCCCCGGAGGAGGCAGGGCTGGGGCCTTAAAACAGCGGCGTGGGCATGGATCCTGCTGCCACGAAAGTATTCCCAGAGATCTCAGCAAATCCCAAGTCCGCCAGGAGCACGTCAAAGTGCTGGACTCTTGTATGATCTTTGTGTGTGTGTGTGATCTTTTAATCCCCTTCCCCAAATTTGCATTTTCCAGAGTGAAGTTTATTAAATTTTTGATATTTTTTTTTTGGTACCGGGGATCGAACTCAAGACCTTGTGCTTGCCAGGAAAGCGCTGGAACCACTGAACTAAATCCCCAGCCCCAAACTTTTGCTGTTTTTGAAATCAGATTGTTAGCCTCTGAAGTGGTTTCCTCTACCTTGTGACACAAACTGGTGGCTCACCCACCTGGGTGGGTGACTGGGATGGGCGTCGCCACTTTGAGTTCTACCTGGCAGCACTCAGGGCCTCTGGTCAATTAGAGAAGTGGAAGTTTGGACAACACTTGGCACCTGGGAAGTTTGAATCAGGAGCCGCTGTCGCTGATGGTGCAGGTGTCTACATGCAAGTGCTTCCATCCATTCCAGAGGCTGTGACCTGCATCTGAGGCGTGGGACGGACTACCTCTGTAGCCAACTGTGACTTGGATTAAGGGACTCTGTTTGCCTCTTCTGCTCCCTGTAAACCTTCCTGTCATGTGGATCTTTGCAGGCTCCTGTTCCTGACCCTCTCCGATGCATCTGTCCCCGCCCATCCTGTGCTTGATACAGCAAGACCATGCAGTACCTGGTGCTCCTTGCTCAGGGCCTTTTATTTTTTGATTAGTATATTTTAGTAATACAGAACAGATTGATCTTGGGAAATTGGTACATGCATTTAACATATCTTTAGCATTTTCAATCCCATACCCCTCAGGCCTTAGTCTTTGCAACTGTCCTGGGCCCTGGCACCTGGGCACTCTTGCTATGTTCCTGAGCCAGGCTGTGGCACTGGTGCTGTGCAGGGTCAGTACTGACTCTGGGTGCCTTGAGGTGTCCACATGGAAATCACACCTGGGCAGTGGAAGTAGGGTTCCCTATCTTCCCACAGAATGAGTGCCTTGCTCTCATGGTAACCCAGCCAGCTGCAGGCTTGAGTCCAGGCTGCATTCTTGAACATTCCCAGGCACTGACGGTGTTTACTTTGTTGCCCAAAACACTAAAATAACCTAGTATGGCCTTTAGGTTCCCCCAAAATGGGCCTTGCGTGGAGCCCCTGGTGTGCATTCTTTCCCTGGAACTGGATCTGAGGGCTTGCGGCACTTCCTTGTGGGAACTGTCCTGCTGCTGCTGTTGGGGTGATTCAAGGGCAGGTTCAGCAGGACAAAATGGTACTAGACTATTCTTTCATCTGGCTTCAGCCTCTCCTGTGGCATGATGTCTGCCAGGGTGTGAATGGAGCCTGTGCTGCTGCTGCTGGGGGAGCATGTGGGGCCTGCCTCCTAGCCTCCTCTGCTGGCCCTTCCCTTCCTGGGCATTCCTTCCCACTCTGACTCCCCAGCATGTAAGATGTCCCTGCTCCAATCCTAGGGAGGCACTGCATGGAGCCCGGCGCTGGGATAACAGCTGGGGTAGGCAAGGCCCTGGCTGACCACAGCCAGATGCAGCCAAGCCTGAATCTGCCCTTTCTCATCCCTGGCAGAGAAGAGGTCACACAAACTGGATAAGCACAAAATCTGGGACAGGGCACAAAACCAGGCTCCCAAAGGAGCTTCTTTACTTGCATGAGATGCACAGCCGAGGGCATTTTGGCTGCCTCCAGAGCCTCAGCTTGGTTCCTTCCCTTTCGTGCTTCCCTTCACTTCTAGCGTCTTCCTCTTGAGGAGGGAAGGCCAGGGAGGAGCCTCTGGGGCCTTCCGCCTCTCAGCATTGGGATGGTCTATTTCCATATAAAGGGAAAACTGAACTTGTATGTAATTTGGAGGTGGAGACAAAAGCAAAGAATCAGGTGGTCCTTCACTCCTGCACACAAGCCTTAGTACCCTGTTCTCTGTGCTCCCATGGGTGACTTCCCAAGTGAAGTTCCTCCAGGCAGCCAACTCAGAAGTTTATTAATGTTCTATGTTAACACTGCAGTAGTGGATGAGGTGATCCCTTGGTTAGGCTTGAGTTGATGGGCGCTCCAGACTGCCCACGGAACCCACAGACAAAGGCACACTCAGGACCCTGGCCTCACCAGCATCACCTCCCAAAGGCGCAGGACTGCATTTACTTGAGACATGAAGCTAGGACACAGGAATGTACACACTGTGACCACCAGGCTCCTGGACTCAGAACAGCCCCCAAAGCAGAAGGCCTCAAAGGTGGGGTCAGGCTCCCCTCTAGTGGGGAGCAAGGTCAAGAGAGCTGGTGCTGTGAGAGTGGTCACCCTCTAAACTTCCCTCACAAGATGCTCCAGTTGACAAGGTGTGCTGACTAGTTTGGGACCTGATGGCTTTTTTTTTTTTTTTTTTAAGAGTAGGAAAAATTTATTGAGAGAAAGAAAGCTTCTGCCTAAGAGAGACAGAAGGGGGACCAGAAACTGGGTTGCCCACCCACCCCACTTTTCAAAGATGTTTTCTACAGCAAAGCCATGTGGTGAAGCAGAAGGACCTGATAGCTTTGTAAATGTGGCTGTCACTCATGGTGGCCTCCTCTAGCTCTGTGGCCATAGGGAGCACATGTGAAAGTCCATGGGCACTCTGCCCTTGAAAACCCTCAAAGGATTCTGAGGAGAGGTCCTGGCTCTGGCAAACATGTTTCCACCTGGGGCAGAGTCCCAAATTCACTGACAAAAGCAGTCAGTGGCCTCTGCTGCCTCTAAGATCCAGGAGTCTTGGCTCAAGTCTCTCCTTTGTCCAGCTCTGACTCTCCTGCTCTATGGCACAATCTAGGAATCTCAGGAATGATAGAAGCAGGGGAAGGTTCGATGTCAAGTGTGCTGTTTGAAGTAGAGCTTGGGGGAACTGGAGCCCTGGCTCACCTGGGCGTCTCACAGTGGCCATGGAGTGGAAGCGTGGGGTAGCCGGTCTGAGGGTGTCAACTGATGAAAACACTGAGGGTGGGGCTTCGGGGACAGGGGCCACTTGTAAGTGGCTGATAGGTATAGACAGCTGGAGCCCTGGTGGAGGAGGACGCTAAGCAGGGCTGAGGCTAGGACCTGCAAGGGCCTGTGCAGCCCAGCCCAGCAGTGCCAGCAGCTGTGGGGAACTGGCTAGAGAGTGCACACTTGGGCTCATCCCAGCCCACCAAGTTAGGAGTTCTGGGAGCAGGGCCCACGATCTGGAGATTTTGGTGCATTTTCCAGTTTGAGTCCCACTGAGCTAGAGAAGAGTGACACTGGATGTAAGGAGCTCCCAGGGGGGCTGGGTCTAAATCGAACCCCAGCATTCAGCTCAACTCTGTAAACAAAGTATTTGTGTGGCGTTTTTGCAGGGCATGGGGGACTAGCACCTTCATCAATTTCTTAGAAAGACCACAATCTCAAAATGATTTAAGAGCAGCAGCCTCGCTGGGCACAGTGGTACATTTCTGTAATTCCAGTTACTTAGGAGGCTGAGGCAGGAGGATAACAAGTTCCAGGTCAGCCTGGGCAACTTAGGCCTTATCTCAAGGAGAGAGGGGCGTTGGGGATGTAGCTCAGTGCTCCCTGGGTTCAATCCCCAGTACTGCAGACAACTCACAGCCTGAAACTGTCCACCTCAGCAGTCTCCCTTCCCAGCTGGCAGTGCCTCCCAAGTAGCCAGTAGTTCTTGCTGTGGCTCACCAAGAGTCCAGAGAAACAATCCAGATGTTACAGGAGTTGCTGTAGCCCTGGTACCATACAATGAGGCTCTGGCAGCCTAAAACTGGCTGCCAGCCAGAAGCACAGGCTCCTGAAACACAGGTTGCCTCTTCCTGTGGTTCCAGAAACCTGTTCTCGGACTCAGGGTCACTGTGTCCCATCCAGACTTCTCCAGGAAAGACACCGTGGCCAGACAAAGGAGCATTACTCCGGGTGATGTGACAGTGGGGTGCAGAATGTCACGCAGTGGCTCCAGCCTCTGCCTACAGGCTTAGTGACCTATCTGAACCTATCTTGTCTCCCCACTAGCCCGTACTCTCATACCCCATGGCAGAAATATGGTGAGGCAGAGGTCCCACTTCACCTTTCCAGTGATGCCCATGAGGCAGGCCAAGGCCGTCTGCTCAGGGCAGATTGTACTACTGGTGGTGACCCAAGCACCAAGCATGGGGTGGCCAGAGTCCCACTCCCCTTGGCCATGATAGGCAGGTTGTCCCTCTGTGCTAGACAATCAGATGCCTGAGCACCTGGGCTCAGGGGCCTTTCCAGAGCTTGATAGCCCTCCTAGCACCACCCTGTTTCTGAAATGCTGCTGTGAAACACACTACGTTAGGCCAAAGGGTGAGGTTGGGCATGGTTGTTAGGAGTCTGACGGGGCTGAAACGGGCTTCTGGCCAGCAAAAGCTCAGGAACTGCATGGGGGAGGGGCGGGGGCAACGACGACACATAATTAGTGCTCACCCTATGTCTGGGATCCTTGCACACTCAGAAGAATAGGATGGATTTCATTCTGAAGAGATTTTTCTAATACTTGGCAATTTTAATCAGGCTTTGCTTATGTCCTCTGAGATCAGGGGCCCTGAATGAGCTAATATTTTAGATCACATGCCAATCACTTTTTGTTGCAATAATAAATACCTGAAGCAGAAAAGGAGATTCATTTAGTTCACTATTTTGGAGGTTCGAGGGCATGATGCTCAGCTCAGCTGAGGCCCTCGTGGGGGTCCCACATTATGGCAGGTGGCAACGCTAAAGTGCACAAGAGCAAGTGACCACCCTTTAGCCACTTGGGGGTTAAAGCACACACACTGTTTGAAATGTCCTGCAAGGACCTACCATCAGGGATCAGAGAATGAAACCCAGAGGTATGGCACTTGTCATTCGTACTTTGAGCTGAAGACTGAAAAGGTCTCAGAAACAAGATTTCAGCTGGGCATGGAGGCTGAGGCAGAAGATCCCTGCAAGTTTAAGGCCATCTTGGGCTACAGAGTGAGTTCAAGGCCAACCTAAACCACATAAGGAGACTCTGTGTCAAAAAAACAAAAATAAATAGATGAAGCAGTCTCCCTGGCCTTCCCATGTCATCACTGCCCCCCATCCCACCCTGCATCCCACTCCAAAGTGAGTCACAGAAACCAGAATTCTTAGCTAAGGCAGGTCATAAGACGGCAAAGCCTCTGCCCCAAAAGGAAGTCACAAAATTTAGAAGTCATTCTCTTCCTTCTCCCTTGAAGACCTTTATTTTAGAGGGATCCCACCCATATACAAGAGAAGGAATGCCAGAGACTAAGAAGGATATCTGACCCCCCCCATCATTAGCATTAGAGAACACTCTACTGGTCAATTGCATTTCTTTTTCTTTTTTTCTTTTATTTGTTTTGTTTCTTTGTTTTTTGAGACAGGGCCTTGCTATTTAGTTCAGGCTGGCCTCAGACTGGCAGTGATCCTCCTGTCTCAGCTTCCCAAGTGCTGGGATTACAAACATGCACCACCACACTTGGCTCTTCTTTTGGATTTTTGAGACACAGGCTCACTGTGTAGTTGTTTTCATGTTTTTCTCTCACTATATAGTTTAGTTCAGGCTGGCTTCAAATTGCAGCAATCCCTCTGCCTCAGGTTCCTGAGTACTGGGATTATAGGTATGTGCCACCATGCCTGGCCCAGTGGGATTTCCACATAACTGTCCATCCTCACCAAACCTGAAGATTGTAAAAACTGTTATCCCTGGTTTCAGATCTTCATTGATGAAGGCTCTCATCCCATGTAAAACTTTGATTTAAAAACCCTATTATGGAGCCAGGGATTTAGCTCAGTGGTGCTGCCACCTGCCTTGCAAGCGCAAGGTACTGAGCACAATCCCCGGTAAAAAAAAAAAAAAAAAAGAAGCCTATTATGTTCTTCTTTTGTTAACATGTCTTTTGTTATATAGTGTTAGCTGTGATCATGCTTCCTGCCCCTGTAGTACCAATGGGACTGGAACCAAGACAGTCTATAACTGTGGGGTGACGTGATGATTTGCGTAGCACATCTAAGAAGGTGTTTCCTGGAAGGAGTCCCAGTAGCACCATTGCAGGATGACAACAGGACACCCAGCCACCTGCAGGTCTGTCCTCTCCCAGCCCTGGGAACAGTCTTTCTTTCAGAGGCCAGGCGTCAGCAGTCTGTACTCTGGGTATCTCAGTTTACCCTCTGATGCAGCTCAGCAAGGAACCCTATCATTTAGAGCTATGTTGGGTTGTTCTTCCCCTATCAGGACAAACCAGCAGGAGCCAAGCAATGCCATCCTCTGCCTCCTGGCCACCCAATGGGCCAGCCACACGTCTCCACTTGTCAGCCCCTGGTTCTATGCTGGTCTTGGAGCCAGTGTAGTACCCCAGCCAAGCCAGTGCCTTTCCGGGCGCTGATTTCTGCTATGGTGATGTTCTGCTTGGCACAAGCAACGATGTCTGGAAGCCTGAGTAATGACTGAATCTCCTCCATGGTCATGTAACAGGGTAGGTCACTGTAGTGAAGAAGTGTCATCAGAGTGGTGGCTGTCACAAACCTGCCCAATCACTGGCTGTACCCCCTCATTCTCAAGCCATGCACTTGGCTATACCCAAAAAAGCTCCTCCCTGGGATCCCCCAACCCCACCCTCTCAGCCACATGTTCCTCTTAGCCTATAGACCCATACATTTTATTGAAGAGAATCAGGACTGATGCTTTTGCAAGTTGTTCTGCAGAAAGGAGACCCAAGAGCTGCACACAGGATGCAGAGAGCTGGGTGGGGTTAGAGGCATCCATCATGAACTGGGGAAGGAGAAAAACGTCTGCAACACCCTGTGATGGAAGACAGTCCTGGCCAACCTCCTTCCCCGGGCATTTTATATCTCAGGAAGAGCACAATGACTTTTGCAGTACTGAGGATCAAACTTAGGGCCTCGAATGCTAGGCAAGCACTCTACCACTGAGCTACATCCCCAGCCCCCACAATGATTTTTAAACAAGGGGCTTTGGTTTCTGTTTTGTTGGTTATTTTTCTGGTACTGGGGATTGAACTCGGGACCTTGCCCTTGCGCGCAGGCACCAGAACCACTGAGCTGAATCCCCGGTCCAAACAAGGGGCTTTGGGATATGCAACCGCAGGGGAAGCAGCTGAATGGGGACTACCTGGTGTCACTTGTATTCAACTACATGGAAGTCTGTATTCTCTTGGCCATTGATTCTCCATCCTAGAATTTGGGGTAGGGGCTTGCCAGAATGGGACCAACCAGAAATGCAGAAATCAAACATAAATGTAGGGTACACCCAGAGGCCAAGCCCTAAAAGACAGACCACCCTCAGGAAGCCTACCCAGAGCTCTAACGGCTCAAATCACCAGAAATCAGATTGTTGCCCATCAGGAAGCAAGTCCAGCCAAGGCCCTGATTCCTCCACTAGTACAGTCACCACAGAGCCCAAATCCCATTCTAAGCACAGCAAGGTCCAAGACTTGACAGCACAGGGACACAGACTATATCCTAAAGGGAATTCAAAGGATTATGACCCACCAGAAGCGAATGACAGTTTCCATAGTAACTGGACCAGATGGGGCCCATGCACCCCCCGAGCTCCCGAATGGTTATCTTTCTTGGAGCCATGATGTCAGTAAGGTCGGTACCCACCTGTGGAAAAAGCCACGGTATAAAGAGAGCACAATGCCAGCGTGACCCTGAACTCCGGAGCAGCAGTGCACACACATTTTACTGTGACTTTAACCCTGGAAGACCCATTCTCCAAAGCCTCAGGCCTGAAGACAGGACCGACCACCAAGAAGGACAAAGGCAGCTTTCTGGGATCCCCGACCCACACCCACCAGGAGGATCTACAGTGGGAGAGACAGAGAAAGAGGAGGGGAGCGGAAAGTGCCCGCGGGAGGACGGTCCGGATGCCGCGCCAGGCTCTGCTCCGTCTAGCGGGAGGACTGCAGGTCTCGGAGATTACGCTCTCCGCTCCCGGAGGCTGTCCAGAACGCACCGACCCGGACCGGCGGCACCAGGGCTTCCCCTTGGTGGAGCCCGAGGCGCTTTGCAAGCCTCAAAGGTGCCCCTACTTCGACCCGCAAGAGGCAGAAACCTACCGTGGGCCGCGTAGGGGGAGGGTCCCCCAGGTCCCCCTCGCCATCCCGGGAGCACAGCTGTACCGGCAGTCAAGGACCTGAGCGCGGCACAGGACTGAGTTCTCGCGCCGGGAAACCCCCCAATACTCCCTCCCCGGCCCAAGATTCCCTCTCGCACGCCGTACGACGCGGAAGGATATTCTGCAAGCGTTTCACCAGCAGCGTCTTCCCAACACCTGAGGCGCCCAGCAGAAGACACATTCCACTCACCGCGCCACCGGGCACCCGTAGGTCAGTGTCGCGGCGGTCAAGGCCCGTCTTCTCCATGCTCTCATTGGATAGACGACCTCGCCTTCGGATTGCTCATCGCTTCTCTGAACTCATCGCCTCCCCGGGTGCGGCCCAATCAGGACTCAGCATCAGCCGGCAGGCGGAAGGCCTCGCCTCCTCGCGGCTCCCTGGAAGACGCAGCAAAGTGCGCGTGCGCACACTGTCATAGGAAGGCGGAAGCGGAAGTTGGGGGGGCGCGCCAGCTCGGATTGAGGGAGTGTTCGCTGCGTCTGTCCGGTCTGGGGTCATCATGGGGCGAGGCAGCGGCACCTTCGAGCGTCTCCTAGGTAACGCGCCCGCGGAAGGCCAGCAGTCTGTCAACTCACTTACCCTCCTGGCGCGGCCCCCGTGCCCGCGGGGAACAGTCTGGCCCTTCCACAGCTCCTCTGCCGCGGGCCTCCCGGACGCGCGGCGCCGACTCCTGGCCTCGGGTGTGGCCAGCTCGGCCTGACGCCGCGTCCCTGGGTGCTAGCGAGGGCGGCGCTGCCAGGGTGGGCGCGGGACCTGGCTCCGTCCCCTTCCGACAGCACCAGATCAGCTGGGCCCAAGTCCTGAGTCACGAAGTGGGTGACTCAGATTTGAACCTCACATAGGGACTCTAACTGAATGTTGATCGATGAGTGGAGCCGGTAGTGTCTTCCCTGGATCTTTTGAGCCCCTTGGAGGCTGCTTTCTGGGACCCAGGCCGCCCCGTGTGTTCTCTGGCTCTGGAAGTGCCCAGCTGTTTCGGATGGCCTTCTCTGTTGGAAATGCTGGCTGATCCTGTCTGAGCTTCCTGAAGACTGTACATTTTAGGACGAACAAGTCCATCACCTTAGTGAAAAGGTGGTATGTCTGGGGACAGGAGCCAGGTGTTGTTATGGTTTGCCTCGCTCTGCCTTTTCTGAAGTAAGGATTTTAAGGAGACCTTAGATGAGACACTTCCCTTGCTCTTGGGACATGTAGGCTGAGTATCTCAGCCTTATGACGTAGCTCAGCACTTTGAGGTTGAATCCAGAAGCTTTTGGAATTTGATCATTTGTACGTTTAGGAAAGCAGTGCAAGCCGAGTTCAGCAGTGCTCCCTCAGTCTGTCTGTTGGATGTGACAGGGACATGGAGAAAAGATGTATAGTGGGGGATCCTCGGAGATAAGTTCTTCCCCACACAAAACCTTGTAGAGGACTGGACTCTGTTATTTATCTCTCCAAGACTTGCCTAATGGAAGAGCCAAAGCATCTGAAAGATAGGGACTCAGAGAAGGCAGGTAACAACGAAAAAAGGTGCAGAGCCTAGTGTTTCAGAGTGAATCCTGGCTTTGTGTGTGGCAAGCTGTGACTTAGGGCAGTCACCTCACCTCTGCTTGCTTTCTTTATCTGCAGAACAGATGAAGATAGTACCTAGTTCGTCAGGTTGTGTGGGAATTGATGAAGTTAATTCAGTGTTTGGAATGGCACCTCATGTGTCACAAGCATGCAACAGACATTTTCTATGGTTTTCAATCCATTTTCTGTTTGTCTGGGGAGAATGGCACTTCCACAGCTGTCAGTGTGCATCTGGAGGATTTGCGTGTGGTTTTGCTTTCATTCAAATGTCTAAAAAGAAGGGGCTCTCTTCCCTGTTACCGAGAAGGGGGCAACCTAGGCAGACAGAGCAGAACAAGCCCTCTGAATGGCATGTCTTTCCTCCAGACAAAGCCACCAGCCAGCTGCTGCTAGAAACCGACTGGGAGTCCATCCTGCAGATCTGCGACCTGATCCGCCAGGGGGACACACAGTAAGTGAGGAGGACTTGTACTGCAAAGTGAAGGGGCAGCCTTGCACAGTGCTGGGGTCACTTGGTGCCCTCTGATTTCCGAGCCTTAGCTAAGCAGTGAGGCCCTCATGTGGGCAATCAGATGGTCCACATGCTGGAAATGGCAATATCTTGAAACATGTGGGGAATTTATCTGTGCTGCTTGGAGACAATGGTTATATTAATATTTGCTTAAGAGGGTCGAAACGACCAAGATGGCAGGGTTTCTTATCTTACTTGCTGGGACTGTTTTTCTTTCTCTGCTGTTGCCAGTGCTCTTCTTCTTTCAGAGCAAAATATGCTGTAAATTCCATCAAGAAGAAAGTCAACGACAAGAATCCACATGTGGCCTTGTATGCCCTGGAGGTAACTAGACCTCCACGCATGTTTTCTGGCCTCCAGCCTCAAGGGTCCCCCACCCCACCCCAATAGACAGCAGCCTTACCACCTTCCTGAGCACATAGCATCCAGTGGAGTTCCTTCTAGCCTGGAGTGGAGTTGTGAAGCATCCCACCGAGCTTGGTCCCCCTGAAGGTGGCAGGGGAGGAGGAGGTGGTGCAGCTTCACTGAGTATAGTCCACGTGGAAAGCTCTGAGGGCCAGCCCTCACTGCTCTTCTTGGCAGCAAGACATGCATTAGAGGGAACATGGTTTTAGGTTTCCGCCTGTTCTGAAGCTGCTGCTTGGGGTTCTCCACATGCTGGGTGGCCTGAGAAGCCTGCTAGAGGCCTGCCTTCTCACTAGGAGGAGGAGGGGCCCCTGCCCTGGCCATTGGGTCACTTCTTCTCTTTCTCGGGGTCCTCAGGTCATGGAGTCTGTGGTGAAGAACTGTGGCCAGACAGTCCACGATGAGGTGGCCAACAAGCAAACCATGGAGGAGCTGAAGGAGCTGCTGAAGGTAGGTGCCCACCAGAGCCATGGGAAGGTGGGGGCATGGGTAGTCACCACTGCTTTTCCAAGTGTTTACTGGGATCCTACAGCACAAACAGCACTGGGCATAGCATGGGTGTGAAGGGAGTGTCACTGCTCCCTGGCTGCCTGGGCTCAGGCCCAGGGAGAGATAGACCCTTGAGGTCCAGTCCAGCAAGGTTGGGGCTGTAACAAAAGTGGCCCAGGTGTTGCATCTGGGGCCCAGGGACAGACACCTATTCTTCTTGGAGGACCAGTGGAGACTTCCAGAAGGCAGGGCTTGGAGCTGAATCTTGAAGGGCAGTGGTGTTCCAGGTGGGCAGAGACGGTAGTGGTAGTTGCTGGGTGTATGAGCAGAAGAGTCCCAGAGAATGTCCCTAAGGATGGGAAGGATTTGAGCAGGGGAGGAGTCCGGCAGACCGCAGACCAAGAAGCTGCCTCAGGGAGGGTGGGTTTCATGCCCTCCCTCGAAGAAGGAAAAATCCTCTAGATCCCTGGGAGATTGTCCCAAAGCCACCTGCAGGGATTGTAATGTGGGCAGTGATGCAGGGCAGAGAGTGGTATGACCATTGCCTGGTGGAAAGGTGTCCCACAAAGGTGAAGCAATTTTCTATCTGCTGGGACCTAGGGCTAGACTGTGGTCACACAGTAGACCCATGCCTAGAGCCCACTTGCTGCCCAGAGCCCAAGCGGATAGGCTTTTCAGGGGCCCTCACTGGGACATTGGCCAGTGTCTCGTGCTGTCCTCACTGGAGCACTACTGTGATCTACGGCCACTCCACCCTGAACACACCCGATCTCGTCTGATCTTGGAAGCGAAGCAGGGTTGGGCCTGGTTAGTGCTTGGATGGAGGAGTGCTGTGTTCTCCTGCTGCAGGTCCTCTAGACCAATTTCCCCCTGATGGGGACAAGGCTATGACAGGGAGGGGCCACCAATGACCAGGTTGCGGAGGCCAGCTCAAAGTCTTGTTTCCTTGAAGCTGCTTTTGTCCCACCCTATCCTTGGCATTGGATGTCATGGCCTCCTGAAGGAGTACCAGACCTGGGAATGGGCTGCACCTGCTGGGGGTGGTGGCTGTGAGGATGAGGAGCCCCTCTGTGTGTGAAGCTTCTGACATAGCTGTCTGCCTGCCCCTTCCAGACTGTGTGGGCTCCACAGCTGCTGTGTCCTCAGCCCTGAGGTGATGCTTTATGCTGGGCCTGCCTGGTAGAGACTGAACAGAGCCAGGGGAGAAGTGACGGTTGTGGACCTGTGGGAGTCCATTACTGGTCACGGTGCAGTGGGGAAAGGGCAGTCGTACAGTCGTAGGCTCAGAGAAGAGCACAGCCCCGACTCACTGTTGATGTGTGAGGGTTTATTCACTCAGAGCCTGGGGACAGGTAGGTGCCTGGACACCATGTTCCACCCAGGGACCCTTCTCAAGCTATGACTGGCACCTCGAGTGTCCCATGGCCCTCCAACCTTCTCCCTCTTCTGCAGAGGCAAGTGGAAGTCAACGTCCGAAACAAGATCCTGTACCTGATCCAGGCCTGGGCACATGCCTTCAGGAACGAGCCCAAGTACAAGGTGGTCCAAGACACCTATCAGATCATGAAGGTGGAGGGTGAGTGGGGGCAGGGGACAGGGTCTGGTCTGAGGGAGGGAACTAGGCTATCAGGAGCTGCGGGGCCACTCTGCTGGGCAGTTAGGTCAGTGATGCAGGGCAGGGAGAACAGGCTGGACCTCACGAATGACTTGCAGTGGGAACCCATTGGGAGGGTGATGTTCTGGGAGGCTCAGAGGCCTCAGAGGGAGCCAAGCTCTGCTTGCTGTACCTCTCCCAGGGGTTGGGGGTAGATGGTGACAGCGGACAGTATGTGGTCAAAAGTTCACAGACAAGCACAGCTCAGAGTGATGTGGCCCCCGGGGCAGGCAGTGCAGGGGGAGCAGGCAAGGAAGGCCTCATGAGGAGGTGCCCTGTGTGCCGAGACCTGAACATAAGAGGGAAGCAGATAGGCCCTGACACCCTCTGCAGAGGGCTCTTGGGTTCAGAGGCCCTGGGACCAGAGCACAGTGGGGTGCTGCAGGGACCTAAAGGTAGCACGTGCCCAGAGGAGAACTGCATTGGGGTTTGGTGTACCCGTGGGTGGCAGGGAGTCACTGGTGGGTTTTAGGCCAGCTGCAGTAGCTGAGGTGCATTTTCTTGGCCTCCTGTATTCCTCATGGTGGTCCTGGAGACGTATGGGTTTGCGGCGAGAGGGACAGTAGGCTCAGGGTGTCTTTGGAGGTATTTGCTGGGGCTTGGGGCTTGGCAGACTCTGCATGGTTTTGGCTGAGGAGGCAGATGGCAGTCTTTAGGAAGCAGCTAACCCGGGTGGGGCCAGCAGTGACCACAGCCTCCTCTCTCCAGGACATGTCTTCCCAGAATTCAAGGAGAGCGATGCCATGTTTGCCGCAGAGAGAGTGAGTCTCGGTGGGCACCCATGAGGGGTTCTTGAATCTGGCAGTTATGAGGAAACAAAGAGGAAAGCCCTGGGGATTGCTTGTCTGGTGCTGGAGGGTGAGAGGTGTTTTGTCAGAGATGAGGATGTCCCTCATTGTTTCAGTGGTAAATGCACTTGTGGCTCTACAGGTCAAGACGGAGATGTGTTCACAGTGTCCTTGGGCTGTAGCTATTGGGTTCACAAGGTTCGAACAAATTCTCAAGTGCAGCTCAGTGATAGAGCACTTGTCTAGCACGTGTGAAGGCCTGGGTTTGATGCCCAGTGTCACCCCTCCTATACACACATCCTCAGACCTGGAGGAAGCGGCGGGGTCATGGAATCCCCCTGCAGGGGACCTTTTCCCTGTCTGAAGCAGCTTAGCCCTGGGCTCTGTGGCTTGGGCCGCTGTAGGCGGAGTGGGGCTGGCACAGTTTCTCCTGCCGTGTTGGGGTCTCAGGTCTCGTTCCTGTCTGGGGGTGTGGAGGATGCCTTGCACCTCTAGCTTACCAGGGGAGGGGACGTGTGGGCCTGATGCTGCTGCTCCCGTAGGCCCCTGACTGGGTGGACGCTGAGGAATGCCACCGGTGCCGAGTGCAGTTCGGGGTGGTGACCCGCAAGGTGAGTGCCCTGCCGCTTTGGGGGGCTGGGGCTCTGCCCTGCGGCTGGTGGGCCCGTCAGGCCCCTGTAACCAGCCCTGCCCTGCCCCTCTTACAGCACCACTGCCGAGCTTGTGGGCAGATCTTCTGCGGCAAGTGCTCCTCAAAGTACTCCACCATCCCCAAGTTCGGCATCGAGAAAGAGGTGCGGGTGTGTGAGCCCTGCTACGAGCAGCTGAACAAGTGAGTCCCTCGTAGGCTCCATGGGGCCTCTTCCTGTCCGGCCACAGCACCCTGGGACCGGGGACCTGGGAAGGCCCATGGGGTGCTGACCAGCAGGGGCAGGGTTGAGAGCAGGCTGGGGCAGCTGTGCCCTCCGGGCAGGAGGCTGGGGGATGCTGTGGCCCCAGGGCAATACGAGATGACCCCTGGAGACCAGTCGCTAATGTCTGATTTTGGTTAACTCTTGGCAGTAAAACCTGGTGAAAACTTGCCCGCATAATACAAAGAACACGGGTGCATGTGCCGTTTGCCCAGATTCCTCAGTTGTGGCCATTTTGCCACCTTGGTTAGCTTGTTCTCTCTTCCCTCGTTGGCACACTGGTGTGTGTGCGTGCCTATGTGTGTTCACACACATTCATGTTTTATTCTAAACATGCAAATGAGCTAGTGACCACACATCCTCTGAGACAGTCGCAGTGTCATTATCTCTCCAGGGAAAGACGGTGTGGTGGTGCCTGTTCCACTGTGGGGGTCCAGTGTCGCTGTTGTCCAGGAAGCTCCTTTGTGTCTTCCCTGACCCTGACAGGGCGCATCCAGGTCATCAGCATGCTGCTTTTTATTGTCACACCTCCCCAGCCTCTAGCCCGGCGCGTGTTCAGCCTGTCATTGGTGTGCAGTGCAGGCCGTTGTGCCATGTCCCTCCTTTGGGGCCTGTCTGAAGTTACCTTGTAGTCAGGTTCTGGGTCTGCACTTTTGGAGGGAATCCCAGCGTGAGGCTGTGCTCTCACTGGGAAGCTCCTCTGCTTCTGTGATGGGTCTGAGCTGCCCCTGAGGCTGAGCCCCTGAAGGTTCCCATTCTCGGGGCTCATGACTCAGTCATTCTGAGCACTGCTTTCCTGACTTATTTCCTGTGTGCAGGCCACTTGACTTTGCTCCTCCCTTCTCCAGTGTGTCCTGATTTAGGCTGCAGTTTTCTTGTAGAAAAGAGCTTAAGGTTCATTTTGAATGAGAGGTGTTAGCACATTTATGTTGAAATTCCAAGAGTGCTGTGAATGTTTGGCCCTCAGACACCACTTGCTAAGATCTGCATGATCTGGAGTGAACTCTAGAAAAGCCCTGGCCTGGCTTCAGCATCATAACAGATTTTGCTGCCCTTTCCAGCACCTTCTGGGGGTGAGGTTCACTGCGTCTCAGGGAGGACACGGGGCAGCATCCAGGTGCTTTAGGAAGTTGAGTTGTGCTCAGCTGGCCAGGCAGAGGATTTGAACCTGTTTCCAGCTTAGGCTCTGACCCATCCATTCTGTGCAGCTGGCTGAGGGACCCACGTCCTTGCTGTTCCCTGGAGTATAGTCATCAGGTTCCAAGTGCCTATGGCACTGGTGTCCTCACTTGATGGGACCGTGTGAGGGAAGAAGCGTGGCGGGTTGGTGGAGGACTTTGTTGGTGGCCGGCCTCAATGCATGGTCACCTGTAGCCTCCCACTCTGCCTCCAGGAAAGCGGAAGGAAAGGCCACCACCACTACTGACCTCCCCCCGGAGTACCTGACCAGCCCCCTGTCACAGCAGTCCCAGGTACGCTCCCTCCTCCCCCGAGTCCCCTGAGCACCTCTCCCGGGCCCTCCTCACCCTGCCTGCCGTCCTCAGCTGCCTCCCAAGAGGGATGAGACAGCTCTGCAGGAGGAGGAGGAGTTGCAGCTGGCCCTGGCCCTGTCGCAGTCCGAGGCTGAGGAGAAGGAGAGGCTGGTGAGGGGGGTCCTGGCCTCAAGGAGGGACCCGGGTTTCCTGGAGGTGCTGGGGCGGGGTTGTGTGGAGGCCCCAGCCCTACTCCTGTGCCACCTGTTTCCTGAGCGACACCTCCTCTCTGTTCCGCTTCAGAGACAGAAGTCAACCTACACAGCACACCCCAAGGCAGAGCCCACGCCCCTGGCGTCATCGGCGCCCCCCGCCAGCAGCCTGTACTCCTCACCTGTGGTGAGCGCACCGCCTGGCTCGGTGCCAGCTCTCCTGGCCCAGGCCTGAGGAGTCTGTTCCATGCCCGCTCTGTCAGTGGGAGAAGGTGTGGGCAGTTTAGGAAGTCACTGTTGACTCTCTGGGGCTGTGGTCTCCAGGCCACCGCTGGCCGAGGGGAGCCTCCTTCCTCCCTGGCTGGCTGTTGGCAGGGCCTCACAGCTGGGGCGAGGTCCAGGCCGGATGTCCTCATCAGAGGAGCCAGGCCCTATGCTGGGAGCCCCTGGGAAACCGGCCAGGTGCCACCCTCCGTAGTCCTGGAGTCCAGTGCCGTGCAGCCCTTCAGGGCCTTTTTAAGCTCTTACGCTTATGCTACTAGAGAGAGAAGGGAAGAGCACGCATAGATGCCCACCTCACGAGGAGCCCGAGAGCAGAGGGGTTGTGGCATTGGCCAGTGCTGGGCTCTCCTGTCCTTTGGCACTCTCTGGTCCCTGCCTGAGTGGCTGCTTCTGATTGCGTCACTGTTCCCTTCGGCTTGTGACCCCTCAGACGGTCCTTGTCTCCCCAGAACTCATCAGCACCTCTGGCTGAGGACATCGACCCTGAGGTAAGGACCCTAACAACAGGTACTGTCCCCTGGCCTCCTGGCCTCTGAGAATGACCCCCCTCTGTTGCTGTGTAGCTTGCGAGGTACCTCAACCGGAACTACTGGGAGAAGAAGCAGGAGGAAGCACGGAAGAGCCCCACGCCATCTGCACCTGCGCCCCTAACAGAGGTGGCTGCGCAGCCTGGGGAGGGCCACGTGGTGCCCGCCAGCTCGGTGGAGGTGCGGCCCTCTGCACTTCTGGTCCCTGCTCTAGGCGCAGAACCAGACCGGGCCAGAAGTCCACTCATCCTTTGCTCTCTACCAGGCTCCCCTCCCAGAGATGGACACTCAGCCCATAACCTCCTCCAGCACCCCCTTTAGTGAGGTAAGTGGGGTGAGGAAACGCTTGCGGGCTGGGCCAGAGAGAGGGTGGCTAGGCCCCTGCGGCTTCTCATGACAAAACCTGGCTGCGTGGACTGTGGTCTGGGGTCCAGCCACTCTGTGGATAGGACTTAGGGCCAGACATTCCCAGCCAGAGGAATCCCACCTCTCCTGGGACTTCTGGGCATTGTCCCCGTCAGGCAGACTAGGCCTGTCTCCGGGCAGAGAGCTCTCAACCTGGTCCCTCCTGGCTGTCCCTGTGCCTGGGGATGAGAGCCTGACCTCTGGCCCTCATTTCTTTGTGTGTGGACTGGCTTGCTCCAGGCCCTGGGAAGAGCAGGCATGAAGACTGCTCAGGCCTGGCAGACAGGGCTCTCACTGCCCCAGGAGAGCCCTCAACACCCGCTTTGTGTCCCAGCAGCAGTACCAGAACGGGGAGTCGGAGGAAAGCCACGAGCAGTTCCTGAAGGCCCTGCAGAATGCTGTCACCACCTTTGTCAACCGCATGAAGAGCAACCACATGCGGGGCCGCAGCATCACCAACGACTCCGCTGTGCTCTCCCTCTTCCAGTCCATCAACAGCATGCACCCGCAGCTGCTCGAGCTGCTCAACCAGCTGGACGAGCGCAGGCGTGCGTGCATGGGGCCCCGGGTGCTGCAGATGGGGGCTCCATGAGCACCTTGGGGATCTGTCCCCAGGGACCTGGGTCGCCTTGCCTGCCCTTGCTGAGGCCACAGGTGCCTCCAGAGGGTCTCCGTGGGCTGTGGTCCCAGGTGCCAAGCACAGGTGTGCCTGCCCCCCAACCCACCCTAGGGCCAGGAAGCCCTGGGGAGAGGGCTGAGCCTCACTGATGGCTAGGGGCAGCTGACCACACAGGCCCAGCCCCGCCACCCCACCTGCTTGTACTGGAGTGGCCAAGGCCGCCCTGCTCTCTTCCCACAGTGTACTACGAGGGACTGCAGGACAAGTTGGCACAGATCCGGGATGCCCGGGGGGCACTGAGCGCCCTGCGTGAGGAGCACCGGGAGAAGCTGCGCCGGGCAGCTGAGGAGGCCGAGCGCCAGCGCCAGATCCAGCTGGCTCAGAAGCTGGAGATCATGCGGCAGAAGAAGCAGGTGCGGCCCCAGCCCGGCACACTAACCCTGTCTGTGCAGGTCATGCGGGCCACCTGACTACTCCTCGTCTGCCGCAGGAGTACCTGGAGGTGCAGAGGCAGCTGGCCATCCAGCGCCTGCAGGAGCAGGAGAAGGAGAGGCAGATGCGCCTGGAGCAGCAGAAGCAGACTGTCCAGATGCGCGCCCAGATGCCTGCCTTCCCTCTGCCCTACGCCCAGGCACGTGCTGCCCTCCCTACCCTCCCACTGCTACCTCTTGTCTATTCTGTGGCAGTACTCTTGAAACCACTGAGTGCGCTGCCACAGCTGCATCCCAAGCCACCCCTGCCCTTTTGTTTGTTTGAGGCAAGGTCTTGCTGTGCAGTTTAGCCTGGCGCCAGCCTCCTGAGTGCTGGGAGTACAGGTGTGCACCACCTCACCTGGCAACCCCTTTGTGCTTTGTTCTGGGGACAGGGTCCCCTGAATTTCAGTTGCACCAGTTGGCCTTGTTGCTGTCCCCTGGTGGAGCCACCAGGACCACAGGTGTGTGTCCCTGCGTCCACTCACCTGCTGTCTTCTCTCCTCAGCTCCAGGCCATGCCTGCGGCTGGGGCCGTGCTCTACCAGCCTTCAGGCCCGGCCAGCTTCCCCGGCACCTTCAGTCCAGCAGGCTCAGTGGAGGGCTCGCCTATGCACAGTGTGTACATGAGCCAGCCAGCCCCAGCCGCTGGCCCCTACCCCAGCATGGCTGGCACCGCAGCAGGTAACCTCAGGGCAGGGGCTGGGACCAGCTCAGATGACCTCAGACCACCGCTTTATCCTTCTGATTTCATTTTAGTCTAATTGTCAGGATTACAAAATGACACAAGTGCCAGGTATGGTGGTGCACACCTGTCAACCCAGCACTTGGGAGGCTGAGGCAGGAGGATCTCTGCCAATTTGAGGTAGACTAGGCTACATAGTGAGTTCAAGGCCAGCCTGAAGTACATAATGTGACCCTGTCTCAGAAAACCAAAAGAAACATTTTCCAGATCCCCTAAAGATGACATTTTCTCACACTTGCTGGCTCCATACTGCCCACGTGCACAGGCATTCGCTCACATGTGCACTCCCTTTCTCCTGAACTCCTTTGCAGTTCGGCCAGGGACTGCCCTGTGGCCCAGAATGCCTGTCCCGGAGCTGGTGCCCCTGGAGCAGGAGGGCCTGAGGGGCCACATCACCTCTGCCCTTTATGGCAGGACACTTTCCCTTAGTGGCCGGGCACAGGCTGCTCCTACCCGCCGACATCCTGGGGCTGTTCCATCACTGTTTCATCCTGTCACGAGGCTGGTGGGCTGGTGGGCTCCTGCCCTGAAGTTGCGGCCTGGGCCTGTCCCTGTCAGCTCTGGGTACCCTTTGGGAGTGGCTGAGGCTCTGCTGACACCTTGGTTCTTTTCAAACTTTCACCTCACTTTTCATCTAGCTGTAACATTTTCTTGCTAATTTTTTTTTTTTAATAAAAGAGAACCGTTTATTTGAAGATGGGGAAGGAGGAAGAGAGAGATGACAGAAAGCTACTCTGGATAAGTAGGGAGAATTCAAAAGTGAATTGTCTTAGCTTGCCAAATTCTGCCTGAGTATTGTTGGTTTTTTTGAGACAAGGTGTCCCTGTGTTGGCCAAGCTGACCTTGAACTGTGGGGCTCAAGAGATCCTCTTGCGTCAGCCTCCTGACTAGATGGGACTACAAGCACGTACCACCATGCCCTGCTATTCCTTTATTGTCTTTGCTAAACAGTGCCTTTCTGATTTTGCCATTGTCTTCCCCCGGAAGAAGAGGCTTTTCCTTTTTTGCTTTTGTTGTTTATGTTGTTTGTGGGCTCGTGGGCTCTTTACTCAAAGGACAGTGCCTGGCTGGTGATGTAGGGGATTTTCATGTGATCCCTGCTGTGACTCGGGAGCTACAGGCAGCTTCTTGACCTTGGGCCGTCTGTCCTCTGTGAGTCAGCTGGGTCCCTGCTGGGCTTGTCCTAGTGTCTGTCACACCCAGGGCCCGAGTTCTGGCTGTGCTCGGGGCCTCCAGGTGCTGTCAGCAGGAGAGCTCAGCGTGTGTGTGTGTGTGTGTGTGTGTGTGTGTGTGTGTGTGTGTGTGAACACCTTCACAGAAGGTAAAGCTGAGCTGGCGGTGCAGTGCCTCCCGTTCCCATGGCTCCGGTTTCTCCCTGTGCCATCCTCAGTGCATGGACCTATGTACTCATTTTTAGCCTAAGCAGAATTTTCCTTGAGGAATGTTGAGCCAAGTCACTGGGACAGTGCCCCCGCCAGTGTGTGACGCGGGTCTGTAGCCTGTTTAGCCTAAGGTCAGGAGTCCACGTGTGGCTCAGGGAGTCTCCAGTCAGCTGCCCCTAGCCCCTTCAGTGACCATCAGTCATTTCAACAGTTTCGTTCCTCTGTTCTGATTCCATTCCGCCTACAATCCACTTCCCATTCTTGCCAGTTTTATTTTCCTTTTTGGTTTGTTTTTGTGTTTTTTTTCATACCGGGGATTGAACTCGGGTCCTTGCATTTGCAAGGCAGGCGACGGAACCACTGAGCTAAATCCCCGGCCCTTGGTTTGTTTGTTTCTAAGACAAGGTCTCACTTTGTGTTCAGGCTGGCCTCGAACTCTAGGCGATCCTGCCTCTGCCTCCCGAGTGCCGGGTTATTTTCCTTTTTGAATGTGAAACATGAACGAACTTGGTTCCAAGTCACAAAAAAGAAAACCTCAGAGAGGGGCCAGGGATTTAGCTCAGTGGTTCCGCAGCTTGCCTCGAAAGTGCAAGCCCTGGTACCAAAAAGAACCTCAGAGAGACACACCCTCTCCTGCCTCCCACTCCGGGGCTGAACAGGCTCTCCTTTGTTGCAGATCCCAGCATGGTGAGCGCCTACATGTACCCAGCAGGCGCCCCGGGCTCACAGGCCGCCTCCCAGGCCCCGGCCGGGCCCGCCCCCAGCTCCGCCTACTCATCCTACCAGCCCACCCCGGCTCCCGGCTACCAGGTAGGTGGCCCCCTCACCTCCTGCCCCGCCTCGCCCCACCCGCTGCCCATGTCACCATTTCCCTCCGCAGAATGTGGCTTCCCCGGCCATTTCCCAGCCTCCGCAGTCCGGAAGCATGGGCTACGTGGGCAGCCAGTCGGTGTCCCTGGGCTACCAGCCATACAGCATGCAGGTGAGGAGCCCGCTCACCCGGCCCTCCGGGGCGCTCCTGGACGCCACAGGGTTCTTGGGATCAGTCTTTCTTCCTCTCTGCAGAATCTCATGACCACCCTACCTGGCCAGGACGCATCTCTGCCGGCCCAGCAGCCCTACATGGCGGGGCAGCAGACCGTGTACCAGCAGGTGAGCCCTGCACGGACCGACAGCCCTGGGCGCCACGGGATAGGGTGGACTGCTGACTCCGGTGGGGCCTCTCAGGCGAGTTCCCTTCTCAGCAGACAGAACTAGGACATAGACACAAACACGTGTCCACACGTACGGATGGAACAAGTGACGTGGGAGCTCTCAGACAGCCCGGGTCTGCACCGTGGGGAGCAGGATGCTGACCGGTGTCCGCTTTCCTCCCGCAGATGGCGCCTTCTGGCGCCCCGCCCCAGCAGCAGCCCCCCGTGGCCCCGCAGCCGCCGGTGCAGGGGCCGCCAGCGCAGGCACAAGGCAGCGAGGCCCAGCTCATCTCATTCGACTGAGGCTGGGCTGGGAACGCCCTATCCAGAGTAACACTACCGGTCACCCGAACCCGCCTGTGTTAACTAGCCTCCCCTCCCCCTTCCCTGTAGTGTCCCCTCTGAGCCAGGAGTGGGGCCTTGCCCCAGCTCTCCTCCCATCAGCCTGCTGGCTCCTGTCACCGGCTCCCTGCTTTGGTCCTGACGTGGTCTGTGACTTGTCCCCAGGGCTGGGCCTTGGAGAGGGAAGCTGGCAGGGGAGCCCTGCGTGTCGGGCCTGAGAGGGAGGCCTGCTCTGTCCTCCTGGGAGCTGGCCGCAGCCCCTCCGCAGGGATCTCCCGGTTGTCCCTCCACAGCCGGGCCTCTAGCTTCTCTGCTTCTCGGCTGTCATCTCTCTGCAGAACAGCGATAATAAAATGTATGTCGAGCCGTATGAGTCTTTGTTGGGTCAGCCAGCCTAGCTTTGGGCCGCAGGGTGCGGTGTGTAGGTCCCCAGCCCAGTGCCTTGCACAGTTGGGCAGTCTTGGTGCGTTTTCTGTTGGCATAAGAAGATGCCAGAGACCTTGTAATTTAAGAGAAAATAAACATTTATTAAGAGATCTGGAGACTAGGAGGCCCCGGGTCAAACGCCCTGGTCTATCGAAGCCTGTCTCGAGGCGGGAACTGTAGGTGCCATCAGGTTCAGAGCGCATCTCCGAGACAGTGTTAGGTGGGCTTGGCTTTTACCGCTGACCCACTCAGGATGACCCGTTATCCCATGAGTGGATCCTAACCACCCAACCTTCGCCTCGGTACTTCGCGATGGGGACTACGTTTCGGTGGCGACATTCGAGCGTTAGCGGGCGGTTCCTCCAGTCTCGGATGTCTCCACCCAGCTAAGCCAGTCCTCTCAACCAGGCCCCAGTGGACACTCAGGGGGGCCCCGCACTGCCCAGCCCACTGCCCTCTACCGAGTGGACCCCAGAGCCGGACTCCAGGCGTCTAGAATGAGATCTGACTCAGGGCGCATCTGAGTCCCACCCCAACCCTTATGGTTCGAGATTGGCTCTCGCTAAATTGGCCAAGACCAGGCTCGAACTTGAGATCTTCCTGACTCAACCACCATTGATTAGTGGGATTAGCCACCGCGCCTGGTAACCCCGAACTTCTTGGGGGGGGTCTCTGCCACAGTTCTTCGGTCAGGGACGGTTAGAAATCGCGGGCTGCTGCCCGAAGCCAGGAAGCTGAGTACTTCTGCGGGCCAGAAGCTCAACCCCGGAAACTGACGACCGGCGAGATCACTGGGGGACGCAACGTCCGCTCCCCCCAATCCCAATCACGCCTGCGTGTGCGCCTGCGCGGCGCTCGGGCTTGTGGGTAATCTCGGAAGTCAGAGGGAAAGTGCACAGGCGGCCGGTAGACAGTTCTCTACTTGTATGCACATCTGCCTAGGCGGCTAGAGTGGCCCGCCTCAGCTCGAATGCCTGGAGGTCTCGCGGCTAGAGCGGTCCACCTAGAACGCCAGCTTGCGGCTAGAGCGTCGCCTCCGCGCGAAGCCGCGTGTGACCTTCCCTCCCGCGGAGAGATGCTAACGGCGGGTGCCTGCCGCCTGTGGAGCCCGCGCCTTGGGCTCCGGGGCGCCGCGTTTTGCCTCGTCAGGTACCGCGGGGTCCTGGGCGCCAGAATGGGCCGTGGGGCTGGGGTAGATTAGAGGGGAGCCGGTGGCAGGCACACGGCCACCCTCCTGGGCCGGGCCTGCGAGACGCGGCAAGGCCTCTCGGCCTGGGCGACCTTGGCTATTCGGGTCCCACCAAGCCCCAGGCTCTTCTCCACAGAGTCCCACCCGTGCAGGCGGCAGCGCGGCCCAGGGTCCCCCTTTTGGGAAGTCGTCTGATGCATAATGCATACTGGTTTAATGAGTTCACTCTACCTGCGGTTTAGGGTAGCATTACTACACGTAATTATGTGGGCTCCTGAGGGTCTTTGAGGAATTTGATAGAGTAGCTTGGATGCCCTGCCTGGGCCCCGGAATGAGGTGGTTTCCCGCCTTGGCGGTGGTGGACCGGAGCGCTTGGACTCTCTAGGCCCTGCGCCCCCTCTCCTTTGCACGGTTGACGGCTATTTCTGGGGGACCAGGCAACAGGTGCCCGGTGTCTGTGCTGTGCGGCAGCTGAGGAGCAGCAGCCACCAAAGGGGTGAGGCGCTCGCTAGCGCGCCCCTGGATAATGCCCCCAAAGAGTACCCTCCTAAGATTCAACAGCTGGTCCAGGACATCGCTAGCCTCACGCTCCTGGAGATCTCAGACCTCAATGAACTCTTGAAGGTAATGGGGAGAGGTTGGCACAGACCAGGGACTGGCATGGGGCACGGGGCTTGCTGTGACTTCCCACGTGTGAAGATCAAGCCAGTCTTGACCCTCCATGAGTACATTTGCGGTCTGACAGCCATCTACTGAGACTTCTGTGTCCCCACAGAAAACGTTGAAGATCCAGGATGTCGGCCTCATGCCAATGGGTAACGTGATGCCTGGTGCTGTCCCTGCTGCAGCAGCCCCCGAGGTAACCCTGGCTGGGGTCCTGGGCAGAAAGGGGTGTTTCCGTGTGCCCACTTCAACTCTGGACCCAGTGATGTGGCCCATTTCTCCTGTTCTTTTCTTGGGTCCTACAGCTGCACATCTGCACCGTTCCCACTGTAGCCCCCCTACAGCCTCAGCAACCTTCTCCTTGCCAGGCATATGCAAAACATGTTTTCAAGAGAGGGAAGCAGACAGTAAGCTAAAGAACGATGAAAGTTGCATGAAACAATGTGATAAGTACAATGGAAAAAGTTGGAAATGAGTTTTAAGTTGGAGAGAGGGTTAGAATTTCAAGGAAAGCCTAAGGAGGTAGCATGTTGCAAGTTGAGGAAAGTAAGATGTCCTAGCAAGGGAGCTGACAGCCAGGAGGGCTCCCAGGCCACAGCTTCTCTTTCCATCTAGATGGGGCTGGAAGCAGCAAGGAGGAGGCGTGGGCTGCTCCATCTCCTGGCTGGCCGGGAGCAGGTTTGGGTGTCTAAAAAAGCCCCAGCCAGCTTGAAGTGCATGTTATGTTTGATTGTTGGCTTAGGGTTAAGTCTCTTGTGTGGGTCCCTGCTTCACCGCCTTTCCCTGCAGAGGAACCCAGTCCTGAGCACTCTGCACTGGGGGTGATGGGTAATGTTTCTAGGATCTAGGAAATAGCCTCTCCCTCCCTCCCTTCTGAAAATGGAAGGTTGTTGTTTGTTTGGGTTTTTGCTGTTAATGTTGTTTTGTTTGGGTTTTAGGGTTTTTTTGTTGTTTTGAGACAGGGTCTCACTATGTAGTTCAGAGTAGCCTTGGGCTCGGGTTTGGCTCAATGGTTTTGCTGCCTGCCTCACAAGCGCAGGGTCCCAAGTTTGATCCCCGGTACCAAAAAAAAAAAATCAGAGTGGCCTTGAACTTACTGTGTAGCCCAGGCTGGCCTTGAACTTGCACTGATCTTCCTGCCTCAGCCTCCTGGGTACTGAAATTACAGGCATGCACCACCATGCCCAGCTGGAAGGTTGTTTTAATGGCACACATGCCGCAGTGCCTGTTGTCATTGAAAGCTCTAAAAGATTCACCAACTCTGAGCTAGGGTGTATCTCAGTGGAGGAGTCCCTCCCTGCCTAGCACGAACCAGGCCCTTGGTTCCATCTCCAGCACCTCAAAACATGCTCATGCATATCCGAAGGCTATTAGGTTCCGGCTGGGCACTTGGCATTAGGGTAGGGATCACCGTATGACCTGTTCTCTAAAGTGGAATTGATGGAGTGCTGCTAATAACTAGCAGGAAGTTGGACGCACCTGTAATACCAACACTGGGGAAGCTGAGGCAGGGGAATTGTGAGTTCAAGCCCGGACTGGCTTACATAACAAAAAACAGAACATGGTGGCACAACCCTGTAATCCCAGCACTTGAGAGGGTGAGGCAGGAAGATTGCTGCAAATTCAAGGCCAACCTGGGCTATATAGTGAGTTCAAGACTAGCCTGAACTATGACGATAGACCCCCCCCCCAAAAAAAAAAACCCTCAAAACAGGGCCGGGGATTTAGCTGAGTGGTTCTGCCGCCTGCCTCTTGAAAGTACAAGGTTTTGAGTTCCAATCCCTGGTACCAAAAAAATAAAACCCAAAACAGTGGGGCGTGGTGGTGCATGCCTATAATCCTAGCATTTGGTTCTCTGTTTTTTTTGTTTTTGCTTTTTTGGAGTACCGGGGATCAAACTCATACTCAGGTCCTTGTGCTTACTCAGGAGGCAGTGAAACCACTGAGCTAAATCCCCGGCCCTATAATCCTAGCATTTGGGAGGCTGAGGCAGGAGGATAACCGTGAGTTCAAGACCAGCCTGAACTACAAAGTGAGACCCTGTCTCAAAAAAAAAAACAACAACCCCAAAACAACAACAGCAACAAAAAAGAAATAGGCATAACAAACTACCAGGCTGTGGGACATGCAGACCCTTCTGGAGGCACTGTGTCTCACTGCACAGTCATCTGTCAGCAATTGCTGGGTTGTCAGAAGCAGGGCACAGTGGTGCACACCTATAATCCTGGCACTGGGGAGGCAGAGGCAGGAGGATCTCTTGACCAACTTGCCACACAGGGCCCCTGTCTTAAAAAAAAAAAAAAGAGGGGCTGGGGATTTAGCTCAGTGGTTCCAGCGCCTGCCTCACAAGCACAAGGACCCAAGTTCAATCCCCAGTACCAAAAAAAATAAAAAGAGGTGGGGTGTCGATCACTGACATGTGTGCACTTATGCTTTTTGGGAATGAGCAGCACTGCTTTTCTATAACTTTTATCTACAAAGTGCTTTTGTATTGCTCCCCTCTGTCTCATAAGTTAACAGTTTTTAGGGGATGAGAGGAGTGGAATTGATGAGAGGGGTGGGAGGTGCGTTTCTGAGCAGAAGGTGGGAAGGTGAAACAGCCCCGTCTGAACCCTGGCTAGTGCTGATAGGAGACACACACCACTAGGCCTCAGGATTGACCACGGGACCCACCTGGCCTTGCTGTGCGGCACACACAAGCATCACACCCTGTCCTTTCCTGCTCCCCAGGTGCCAGAGGAGGAGGACCTCCCCAAACAGAAGGAACAGACACATTTCACTGTCCGCCTGACAGAGGCGAAGCCTGTGGACAAAGTGAAGCTGATCAAGGAGATCAAGAACTACATCCAGGGCATCAACCTTGTCCAGGTGGGCGCCCGTGCTGCAGGGCCCCTCCCCACCAGCCCATGCTGACAGCTCTCGGGCACTGGTTGCTCACAGGGGAGCCTTGGTTGTGTCAGCCGAGGAGCCCCTTCTGATTTCACTTTCTCTGGCAGGCAAAGAAGCTGGTGGAGTCCCTACCCCAGGAAATCAAAGCCAATGTTGCCAAAGCTGAGGCTGAGAAGATCAAGGCGGCCCTGGAAGCAGTGGGTGGCACTGTGGTTCTAGAGTAGCCCCCAAGCGCTGAGGACTTATGGACTGGAGGCCTGGGATGGGGTGAGGCCCTGCCCACCCACACCGGCCCACTCGGCTCCCAGCACCAGGCTCCCAGACCGGGGGTTAGAGGGCTGCAGCGACTGGTGCTAGTGGCTGGATCCGCCTGGGAGGGGCAAGATGGACCTCCTGTGACGGGGAGGGATTGCGGGATTGCGGCCGCAGCTTGTACAGAGCACTGAGGCCACTCCGGAGCTCGCCAATCCACACATGCCCCTCTGGTGGCTGCTGAGGAAAATACACTGTTGAGGCTGGTGTGTCTGAGTCGGTTGCTCAGGGCAGTTCGTGTGAAGGGCCGCCTGTGGTGGTGTGGCCTGGGCCTTGCCAGGGTCAGCCCAGCCCCTTGAAACCCCTCCGTCTGGCCCGCTGAGGGTCTGCAGATGTTCATCAGTTCCCTGGGTGTAGGCCCCTGTCCTGGGTCCTGACAGCTGGTGGTGTCCCTAAAGACACAGCAGGACCTAGTATGAAGCAGCCAAGTGGAGAACTGCAGTTTGGATGGGAGATTTCCCTGTGTAGATACCAGCACTTTTTTGGGGGGGAGTACCGGGGATTGAAACCAGGGTCTTCTACTGAGCTACATCTGCAGGCCTATCTATCTATCTATCTATCTATCTATCTATCTATCTATCTATTTATTTATTTGAGATAGGGTTTCACTAAGTTTCCTGGACTAGGCTCAAACATGCAGTCCTGCCTCAGCCTCCCAGGGTCCTGGAATTACTGGTATGTGCCACCACACCTGGCCACTAGCATTTTCTTCCCCTCCTTGGAGGTACTGGCGTTTTTAAAGTAATATGCAGTGTGGCACTGATGGAACCACTGAGCTCAATGCGCCAACAGTGCAGCCATGGCTGGGGGCTGAGCCCCTGACCCCAGAATCCCTGCTGCAGGGTTGGGGGTTGTGCCACACTGGCCACTTGCAAGGTTGGTTGGGGGCAGGCTCGTAGGTGTGGGCCTGGCAGTGTCCCTGCCTAGCTTGAAGTGGAGTCAGCCCCACAGGTGAGCCAGCAGGTACTGAGTGCCCTCAGGGTGCAGATCCTGCCGTCCTGGCCCGCAACATGCAGCTGGCCTTGCTCTGAGAACCCTGAGCCCCTTTCACCTGGCAGAGCTTTTCCAGCACTGCCTGCCAGGGGGAATGTGGATTCTTCCTCAGCGGGCCTGGGCCAGGGCCCAACCTTCAGCCTGCCTTCAGGGCTGTGTGAGCAGGAAGCTGCAGTGTGCTGGAGCACCCCCTTTGGGGAACGTGATGCCTAGACAGGAGTCCTGGGGGCACACCCACTGGCCTCAGTTGCCCTGTTAGTAGAAGAACCTTCTGGGTCCCCTCTGAGTGGCCACAGGGAACACTGTCTCCGGGAGTGCTGTCCTCAGGGTGGGCCTCCTGGGGGAGCTGGTGGGCCCCAGTGTGGACAAACCTAGCACACACACCCCAGGCCCTCCTGAGGACCACTGGCTTCCCTGGCCTGCTGGTCTTGGCAGTTCCTTGAGTTGATGATTCTCCAGCACCACATCTCTGCACCTCCACCTCGGCAGAGGTATGCCATGCCAGGTGCCCTGTGGATCCCAGGAAAAGCAGTGAGCCTGGAGCTGGGTTGGGGGACAGCCCCAGCCCGGCCCACCCCTGCCTTAAGCCCCTTGGTCTCAGAGCCAGGGCCAGGTCTAATGGGATGATGGTTCCTGCCAGAAAGGTTTTCCATGCCCTCCTGGACTCGGGAGGGGGCTGCTCAACATGGGGGTGACTGACCTCGGGCCATGGGGTTGGCCTCACCCTCACCAGTAGGAGCTGTGCTCTGCCGCTGCTGCTCACACCTGTGACTTTGCTGGTGATAGGAGGGCACTCTTACGGCAAGGTGGAGACTCTGGCTCAGCTGGCAGGCTGCTTCCCACTCTCCTACACCAGCTTTTGTTCCTCCTCGGCCTGCCATCCTCACCTGGGCTGATCCTTGTTCTGTGAGCTGTGGACTTTGTCTTCCTACCAGCAGTGGGTTCCTGGTCCCCTCCACCCTTGGGCTCTCACAGACTTGGGGACGTTGTGCTGGGTCTTGATATTGTGTTATGTAGTTGAGGCTGACGTTGAACTCACTGTGTAGCTCAGGCTGGCCTTGAACCTGTGGCAGTCCTGCCCCAGCCTCCCAAGTGCTGGGATTATAGGAACATGCTGCCACACCCAGTTGTCACCTCCACTTTCATGACATTGTAATCTTGGACTTGGTGGACCTTTTGATTTTTCACCAGATGAGGCACAAACAGCCACAGGGACAGCCAAGTGCCCTGAGTGTGTTGGGTGGAGCCTGGGTGGCCCTGACTACAGAGGCCATCCCTCTTCCGCTCTCAGACATTTCCAGGACACAGCACTTCTTTGTCAGGCCGGTTCTGCCTCCTAGCCATTGGATCTGTTTGCTCCAGGTCTCTGAAGTCTGACCTCTTCAGTCTGCTGGGCATGTTTCTCTCCCCCACTTTGGGCTTCCTCCTGACCCTGTCCACCCAGCACTTTCCTCAGTCTCCAGGGAAGCATGGCTGGGTGACACTGCTGAGACACCAGACAAAGCATGGCCCGGGGCAGCTCTGGGCTCAGCCACCAACCCCGCAGCCCATACTTGTGGTTGATGACCTCAGGGCCAGAGCCACTTAGAGTTCTGGAAGATAGAGCTGCTTCTTTCTGAGTGGCTGTCAGGCAGATAACGCGGTGGATGTCTGCCTCTACACAGCTGCAGAACAGACAGACGCCGCTCCCCCGGGGGGCTCAGTGTTAAAGGCAGAACTCGGATGGGTCCCTGCCCAGCAGGTGCTCCCGCGAGCCAGGAGCATACCTGCCTTTCCGTCCTGTCTTTTGAGAAGGAGCAAAAGCTGGGGATGTAGCTCAGTGGCACCGTGCCTGCCTCGCAAGCACAAGGTCCTGAGTTTGATCCCCAGTACCGAAAAAGAAGTAGGAGCAGAGTGAGATGTGAGGGGCTTCCCCTGGGGCTGAGCATATTCTAGCGCCTCCCAGAAGCCTGAACCCGGGCGGCTGCCTGCAGAACTGAACTGCAGCTGGCCAGGCGCTCCCAGGGTGTGTGCGTGTGCGTGTGTGTGTGCTTGTGTTGCAACAAGTCTTAACTGGCTGCCTTTTGCCCCTAGTTTTTCTTTAATCGGCAAGCTGGCCCTAAGGAGGTTTTTTGTCCCTTCACAAGTGCCCCAATAGGGAGGTGGGGACCGCAGTCTACTACCGCAGCATGTGTGCCCCGCTGGCGGGACACCTGAACGTCGGGTGCAAGTTCAGGCCGCGGCTGGGACTAGGGTGCTGTGACCTCCGGGGAAGCGACCTAGGCTAGGATCTGGGGCGTGGAGATGGCCCGTCAGTCAGCTCCTGCGGCCAAGGTAGGGGTCCAGCTCCACACCCACGCCGCCGTTTTAAGGCACCTGCCCCGCCTCCTTCGGGGCGTGCCCTGCTGTGCCGCTGTTTCGGGGGGCGTGGACTCGAGGGCCCGCCCCTTGGCCGCGCGGACGCATTGGCTGCGCGGGGCGCGGGCGCACCGTGGCACTTTGAACCGGTCTCCCAGCGGCTGCTGCTAGGGTCTGGGTGGAGTCGGGTCGAGTGAGGCCGGGGCCGACTTCGGGCCGGGGTGAAGCGGCCCGGGCGTCCGCTCCTGGGGCCATGGCAGCCGAAGCGCGTGTGTCTCGCTGGTACTTCGGGGGGCTGGCCTCCTGCGGGGCCGCCTGCTGCACGCACCCGCTGGACCTGCTTAAGGTGAGGCCGGGCCCGGGGCCAGGACGGGGCCTGGACGAGGCCTGGACGAGGCCTGGACGGGGCCTGGCGCCGGCGGGACGCTGCTGCGCCGCGCCGGGATGTGCACCCCGTGATTAGCGCGGCCGCGGGTGCAGGCGCCGGCGACGCCCACGCCCGCCCCGACCGAGGTCGTCCTGCTGTGTCGCGAGGGCCTTGAGCCTGCGGCGCCTCTTGTGGCGCCCGCCGGGAGCCGCGGGCGGAGCCCGGTTCATTGTGCAGGTGACCTCCGCAGGTGGTGGCCGGCCGCGTGGGCTGCCCCGCTCCCCTGCTCCGGGCAGATGGCCGAGCTTTAATACTGTTTGAACTTGGCCCCTTTGAGCCATTGCCCCCTCCCTCGGTGTTGCACGGCACTCTGCCTGGTTAAAAGTGGTGGCCTGTCTGCGGGTGCATAGGTGTTGGTTCCCGGGGACCCCTGCGTGGTGGGGGGTGCCAGGACAGGCTGGGAGGAGAGGAAATGAGGGCCTGGCCTCCGCTCCCCCCCACTAACTGGAGTGGAAGTCGCACCCGGGAGGGATGTGGGGTCGGCACAGCCTCAGTGAGATGCCAGCAGACCCTGCGCGCTTGTGGCCCCAGGGAGGCACGCGTGCACTTTTAACTGTATTTCTTTGAGAAGAGTGTTCATGGGTCAAAATAAGACAGAGCGCTCCTTGTTCCCGAGGCCAGCCAAAGACCAAGGGACGTTTTCTGACCCTGCCTCACCACAGAGAACAAAGAAGGGCCTGAGGCTTTACCCAGTCTGCCAGGGGGCGCGCCCTGTGGTCACGCGGTGGCCCGTGGACGGACTCAGCTGGCCCGGACACCCATTCCCTCACCCCCACCCGGAGCTGCAGGGATCAGCACGTGTGGCCTGAGCTGTTGGTTGGCCCAGCTTTGGGGCGGCACCTGCAGCTGCTGAAAGGTGCAGGCCTATCCCTTGGTCTGGGACCTCTTTTTTAAAGGAGTGGATTTTCTAATTAGTAAAAGCACTGGCCCCCACGTACACATCGGGGACAGGGCTTCACCTGTCTTGGGAGAGGCCTGCTCAGGTCCAGCCGAGGGTCCTGGACGCTGCTCTGGCCACCAAAGAGGTGGAGTCAGTGAGCAGCAAGGTGTGGCTGGGTTTGGAGAGAGGGCAACGCTCTCCAGACTGTTTTTCCCAACTCTTCTGGCGCCGTGGCCTGCTGATGTCTCTGAGGGAACCCGGGCCCTCGCGGGGCCTGCAGCCTGTGACCTGGGGTGCTGCAGCTGACTTCTAAGGCCCTTTTGGGTGTCACTGCCTCCCCACCCAGCCAGATGCCGCCTGGCTGCAGAACAGAGTGGTCACGGAAGGTGGCCGCCCAGGTGTCCACCCTGTAAGGCAGACAGTGTGAGTGCCCAGCCTTGGGGAAGACCAGCCAGGGATTTTCTCTGAGGGCTGCTCACCATGGTCTCCCAGGTGACCCTTTAAAAACTTGTTTCAAGGCTCCTTGATCTGTCCCAGTGGCCCCAGGTCCTGGCTTCATCCTCCTGGCCACTCCTCGCCTGGACAGGGCTGCTGCCTATGTGGCCCCCCGGCCTGGGGCCCTGCATCTCTGTGCTACCCAGCTCACACAGTAGGAGGACACTCACATTGCTGAGCCTATGATCTCCGCTGTCCCCTGTCCCCCCCTTGCACGCAGAACCAGGGGTGGCCTGGGAAGAAGGCTGGGGTGGGGCGGTGCGCAGTGATTATCACTGTTATAAAACCAGGGTGGGAGCAGATTCCTGGCTGGACTCAGAGTCACCAGCCAGGGTCCCTGAGGAGCCCCTCCACCACCCTGCCTCAGTGTCCCCATCTCCAGGTGGCACTGAGCCCATAGGTGGTTGTGGGGGCCTCGATGAGGCTGGTTCTGGGGAAGCCTCAGCAGAGGGGCGTGGGGTTCCGGGCAGCGTCTGCTCCGCTCCTGGTCTCTGCTGGCCTGGCCCAGGCGGTGGGGCTGGCTCTGTGCAGAAGTGACCCGTCCCTGCCACAGGTGCATCTGCAGACGCAGCAGGAGGTGAAGCTGCGCATGACCGGCATGGCGCTGCAGGTGTTGCGCACTGATGGCATCCTGGCGCTCTACAACGGCCTGAGCGCCTCGCTGTGCAGACAGGTGTGCTGCCTGCCTGGGTGCCCTCAGGGCCCCCCATCCCATGGAGCTCTCCCCTTTCCTGCCTAGAAATGTCCCATCCCAGGGTCGTGCTCTGGATGGCAGCCCCTTGGCCTGCAGTGGGCACCCCAAGGAATACAGCTTCCTCCTCCTCCTTTTCCTTCTGGCGGGGCCATAACCCCAGTCTGGGTGTGGGGCAGGGTCCTGCGTTCCACGGCTGGGCCAAAACCTCCACTTATGGATGGGGAAACGGGTTGGGGGAGGTGGGAGAAAGAGGACCATGTAGCTCTGGGTTTGCAAGTTGGCCCAGCCCGTGCTGGCCTAGTGGCCTGGGGTAATCCCCCCGTGCGCCCGTTCCACAGGGTGATTGGTGATGGTGCTGAGGCTGGGGTGGGGCGTGCCCAGCCCTGAGTCAGGTCCCTTCTCCCCAGATGACCTATTCGCTGACGCGGTTCGCTATCTATGAGACCGTACGGGACCGCCTGACCAAGGGCAGCCAGGGGCCTGTGCCCTTCTACAGCAAGGTGCTACTAGGAGGCATCAGTGGTAAGCACTGGGGAGGCAGGGTGGGGCAGGGCAGGGCTGGGCACCGAGAGTCACTTAGGCCTGGCCCTTCTGCACCACAGGTTTAACTGGAGGCTTCGTGGGGACCCCTGCAGACTTGGTCAATGTCAGGTTTGTGTGGTCCCCCAGCCCCCAAGGTCAGGGGCTCCCTCAGCTTGCAAACAGGGCTGAGGTGACCGGGGTCTGCGGCATGTCCATCCTCGAACAGGCGTCCTGTCCAGCTCACCCACTGCCCTCAGTTTGTGAATAGTGTGTCCAGCAGCCACCCTTCTGTTTCAGGATGCAGAATGACATGAAGCTGCCTGTGAATCAGCGGCGCAAGTGAGCAGCGGGCTGCCCTGGGGGTGGGCAGGAGGGACCCCCGAGTGGCTCCGCTTTGATGTGACCAGGACCCCAACAGACCGTGTCACCCTTGGGCTCACATGGAATGGGGGTGGGGAGGCTGGTGGTTTTCAGGAACAAATGCTGATAGTGGCTGCCCCAGGGTCATCAGGGTGTCTCCCTTGGTCCCCCAGGACGACTTGGTCCTGGGCGTGTTTCTGGTGTTGGGGTGGGGGGGACCGGTGCTCAGAGACTGAGTGGGGCTGAGATAAACGTGCTCTTACCAAGACCAGGGTGGCAGCAGGGGAGTGACAGCAGCCACGCCTTTGTACACGTCTGGTGTTCTCCCCTTGGGACCCCCGGGCTGTTCCTGGTCTCTTCCCCTCACACCCTCCTTCCCAGGGGGCAGCGCCTCACCAAGCCTGGGGCTCTTTGGGGAGTGGGAGGGGTCTGCCTGCCCGAGGCCTCTGTCCCTGTGATGCTTCTGCAGAAACTGGAGGCCTGTGACGGGGGTGGACCCCTGGGGCTGTGGCCAGGGTGAGCCTCGTGTGACCCATCCCGTGTCCCTGGCAGCTATGCCCATGCCCTGGACGGCCTGTACCGCGTGGCTCGTGAAGGTGAGAAGAGCAGTTGCTTCTGGGAGCCCCGTCCCCACGGCGGGTGGGCTGGGTGCCGACTCCCTGTCTTCTTGCAGAGGGTCTGAGGAAGTTATTCTCTGGTGCAACCATGGCATCCAGCCGCGGGGCTCTTGTCACTGTGGGCCAGGTAGGGCTTCTCACAGGGCAGGGCTCAGAGCGAGGCAGTGGGCACGGGAGCCACCTGCTGTCCCTTGGGGAGGCACAGGTGGGTCAGGGCCATAGCCTGGGTCTGACCTTGGCCAGTCCACCCTGCGCCTGGCCTCCGGACTTGCCCACATGCAGGCATGGCAGTGATGGAGGACAGACGCCTGGGCCCTGCAGGGTGGTGTCTCGACCTCTGCCTGCTTCCCTCGAGCTGTCCCTGTCCACCTGCAGCTGTCCTGCTACGATCAGGCCAAGCAGCTGGTCCTCAACACTGGTTACCTGTCTGACAACATCTTCACTCACTTCATCGCCAGCTTCATTGCAGTGAGTGCTGGGCCTTGGGGAGCAAGGGCACCTGGGGCGAGGCGTGGGGATGAGGTAGTAGGAGGCTGGCAGGGGCCTGTAGCACCTCTCAGGGCCACAGAAGTGGACCCTGTGCACCCGGGCCGCGGCACGTCTGGTTCCCTCGTCCCCATGCCTTGGCCCGCAGCCTCGGGACACCTCCGAGGAGGGGGGCGGGGCTGGGAGCAGGGGTGGTGGGGTGCAGGGAGGGGCAGCAGGCCCTCTGTGACAAGGCCCCTCCTCAGGGCGGGTGTGCCACGTTCCTGTGCCAGCCCCTGGATGTGCTGAAGACCCGCCTGATGAACTCTAAGGGCGAGTACCAGGTGAGGCCGTGCTAGGTCCTGCTGCCCTCTGCCAGGGCCCTCACCCCGAGCCCTTGCGTCCTCATCCTGGCGACGAGGGCACTCCCCATGAGGATGTGGGACACCGGGATGGAGCTGTTTCCCATGACACCCTTCCCTTCTAGTTGTAGTCCTCAGGGGAGCCCTCTGGGGCTAGAGAGGGTTTTGCTTTCCCAAGGCCCATGCCTTGCTTTAAGCCCCTTTTCCTGCTGGGCATGGTGGCACACGCCTGTAATCCCAGCACTTGGGAGGCTGAAGCAGGAGGATCACACAAGTTGGAGGCCAGCCTGGGCTACATAGTGAGACCGTGTCTCAAAAAGCCAAAAATAAATACAATGAATACACCGGATTTCCCTTGCACGTTGACCGGGTGCCCGGTGGAAGCCGCCTGGGCAGAGGAGCGCAGCCCTGCACCGGGCACGGGACCTTGGCTGCCCCACCTCCGTTCCCTGATCTCCTCTGTCCCCGCAGTGCCTGTGGCAATCCTTTGCTCCGCTCCCTGACCCTCCCCAGTCACCAGCTCTCAGCCCCTGGGGTGCACCACCAAGGCCCTGGCTGGCTGGCTGCAGGCGGGGTGGGCTCAGCACTGCGGGCCCCTATTGATGTCCTCAGGGCCACCACACCCAGCTGGTACCAAACAAGGAGGGTCCATCTGTCCCCCTGAGGAGGAGCCACTTCCTGTGCCTCTTCACTCTGTCTCCTTCAGGGGGTTTTTCACTGCGCCGTGGAGACGGCCAAGCTGGGACCACTGGCCTTTTACAAGGTATGGCGGGCGGCGGGCAGCTGGAGTCGGGGCTGGCGGGCTGTGCCCTCCTGGGCCCATCAATCTCCCTCTCCGGTTCCTTGCCCAGGGCCTCTTTCCCGCTGGCATTCGTCTGATCCCACACACTGTGCTCACCTTTGTGTTCCTGGAGCAGCTGCGGAAACACTTTGGCATCAGGGTGCCCACCTGAGGCCCCCACCAGGCTGAAGATGGGTGGGGGTGTGGCCTCCCCTCCGGGGGCTCCTCCCATCCCAGGCCCCGGCCCGGCTCCCCACCCTCCCTGGCGCCACTCCCTCTGCCCAGCAGGCAGTGGTGGAGCTGGGGGTGGCTGGCTGACCTGTGTCCGGCTCTGGCCGTGGTTTGCTCCTTTCAGGAGACAGTGCTGCAGAGGAAAGCACTGTCTCTGGCAGCCTCCACCAAGGACCAGGCAGGCAGCACGGGGCTTGGACCCTGCAGCTGCCCGCCACACTCGTGAGCATGCGCACTTTACTCTCACGAGAGGGACCACAGCTTTAGCATCCTCAGAGGTAGCGCCTCCCCCAGGCCCCAGTCCTGGGGGAGGGGGCAGGTGAGAGATCACCAGCCAGGGCCAGGGTGGCGGTCCCCACACACCTCTCTCCTCTCCGGGTGCAGCCCCAGATGCTTTAATGGTTTGCTTTGCCAGACAAAACCTCACTGCCCACAGCCTGCTGCTGTCCACCTGCCTGGTGCCGAGGCCCTCGATGCCTGCGTCCTCCCCTCCCTGGTGAAACAGGGCCACAGGCAGCTGTGGGCTGTGGTGTGTCCTCCAGGGCTCCCTGTCCGGTGTAGCCTGTGGTCACCCCACAAGAGCCCCTAGCTGCCAAAAACTGCTGCCACAGCAGCCTGTTGCCCTAAACAGGATTGGGTATCGTGTGGGCTCAAGCACTGTGCCCTGCAGCTCTGCATGGGTCCAATAAAGTATAGTGACCCAGGTGACCCGCTCTAGTCTGTCCCTCCACACCACCAGCTGCCTCATGGTGCAGGGGCAGTGGGGGCCCTCCACACCCCCAGAGAGGAGGGGAAGAAGGAGCTGAGGTCGGGCCTGTGGACAGAGGGAAGGGAAGGATGGGGCAAGGTGTGGAGAGCTCTGGGCCCACGGTGCCGCCCCTCCCAGCAAGGCCCTGGCACCGGGGACCCCAGGTCTGTGTGTCCTCCGGGCAGGCTGGTCTCCCTGGGCCCTTTCCGGGCTGTGGGAGGTGCCCTGGAGTCAGCCCCCCGGCTGTGGGGCTGTGGTGACCCTGGCCAGTGTCCAGCCAGCGCTGCCTGGCCTGGGAGACCCTGGAACTGCAGAGCAAACAGGGTCAGAGGGCAGATGGGGCCCAGGGCCCGGCACAGAGGCCTGTGATGTGCACAGTGTCTTCAGTGCGAACCAAACAGTGTTGGATGGTGGAGCCAATACCACCGCTCTTCGAGTGTCTAAAGCTCCCGAATGGATAAGGCTCTTGGGGGTGGGGTCCCCGCAACACCTGTCCTAGCTTCAGCAGCAGCCTCTTGGCCCTGGACCTCAGTCCACCCTGGGAATTTGAAGCAGCTATCAGTCCTGTTGTGTATACATATCAAGAGTTAAATGCACTGGGTGAGGAGTACAGCCTGTGATCCCAGCACTGCGGGACCTGGAGCAGGACGATGGAAAATTCAAGCCAGGCCTGAGCAACTTAGCAAGACCTCGTCTCAAAAGAAGCGGGTAGGGAGGCGAGGGATGTAGCTCAGTGCTGATTCTCCAGGTTCTGTCCCCAGTACAGATCCCAGCTTTGTGAACACACCTGGGCCTGGGGAGTGGCTCAGTGGGGACCACTTGCCCAGCATGCCTGAGCCCCTGGGTTCCATCTGTAGCTCCACCAAAATAGTAATTTATACATATACATGTACCTTAAACCCAAATCACTATAACTGCAGTAGTAATTATCTACAGGTAAAAAAAATTGTAAGGCTGGGGATTTAGCTCAGCGGTTCACCTGCCGGCCTTTCAAGCTCAAGGTCCCGAGTTTGATCCCCGGTACAAAAAATAAAAACAATGGTGCCTCTTTCACCACCTCCAATCCCCATTTGGTGCTCAGGTTTCCCTGAGGGCAGGGGTGTGAGTTCTCCCGTGTTGAGTCCAGCAAGGGCTGCCCCTCCTCCACCCTACTTTTCTGGTCGATCTGGCCCAAGTCCACTTGGCATCTAACCCCAGCTGCCCACGTCAGGGTGGGCACAGGGCCTGACGGTCCAGAGTGGGCTGGCGGGACTGGGAGGGATGGCAGTGGGAAGTGTGGGGTGGGTGGGTCAGAAACCCCACTCTGGGGCCATGAGATTGCCGAAGAGCTGCCTCCCTCAGCTCATTGGTTGGGGGCAGTGGGTGGAATCTCTCAAGCCAGGCCGCCGGGCCACTTCCCCCAGCCTCCTCCCTGGAGGCAGAGCACCCAGTCCGGTTTGGCAAGATGGTTTGGCCCAGGGTGGGATGGGGGGGGGTAGGCAGGGCTGGCCAGGTCAGAGGGCAGCCGCTCCAGGGGGCAGGGCTTTCCCCAGTCATTCTCCGGTCCTTGTAAGTTTGTCACTCTTGGAAATTTACCGAGTAATCATTTACTGTCAGGAAATGTGAGCAGGGCTGCTGAGACAATCCCCGGGAGAAAGAACAGGCCAAGGCTGGACCCTCACCGCATGCCCCGGATGGCCACCAGGCTGTGCACAGGGCCCAGGGCCAACCCTGGAAGGGACAGGCAAAAGCAACATGAGACTCCCACTGCTGACTTGGGTGCCGCAGCAGGGCACACCACAGCCACTGCCATTTGCTGTGGGCAAGGGCTCCAGGGTGGGCAGGGAAGTGGGAGGTCAGCGAAGGGAAGGCAGGTGAGCCTGTCCCCGGCCAGAGGCGGAAGCCTGGGGGGCTAGGCTTCCTGTGGCTTCCAGTGGTTGCATCGGGGACAAAAAGTAGGGAAGCAGGCAGGTATTAGCCACGTGTGTTCAGGGCCACTGCTCCAGGGCTGTGACCTGCCCTCCTGGACTGGTTGGTGCAGACCTTGGGTCAGAGTTTTCCTCGGTGTGAAGCTGGAACAGAGCCCAGGGCCCAGGCAAGCCAAGCACACTTTGCACTGAGCTCCCCTCCCCAGCACCTCTTACTTTGTAAAGGAAATTGTTTTTGGAAACAGAGTCTTGCAATGGAGCCCAAGCTGGTCTTGAACCTGGGGTTCCTCTCCTGCTTCAGCCTGCTAAATGCTGGGATCATAGGCAGGTGCCACCTCACCTGGCTGCACCTCGTCAGAATTAAAGTGGCCCTGGGCCCTGCAGCTCTCCAGGGGCTTCCTGCAAGTCAGCACAGAAGCCACTGTGGGGACCCAAAAGAGGTCACCTCTTACAGTGCAGAAAAAAGTGGCTTTGCGGATTGTGGTGACTTCATGCTTTGGATCTAGGTTTGCTGCAGGTTTCTCTGTAGTGAAGCACTTGAGTCATAGAGGTGTTTTCCCCATTGTGGCAGGACAGGTTTATAATGCCAGCACTCACAAGGCTGAGGCAGGAGGATCTTCCTGAGTTCAAGGCCAGGCAGGGCCACATGGTGAGACAACAAAACACCCCACTATGAAGCCAGGCTTTATGGCGCCTATTGGTGTAAGGGCCCCTCCCAGCAGCCTTACTTTATTCTAGGATTAAAGCAGCTGACTTCCTCAATCCAGTCCCAGGCTCAAGCCCTGTCCCCTGCCTCAGGCTCAAAAGCCACTGCCCCCCCTCTTGGGGGTGGGCTAAAGCATCTACTTCCTGGAGTCCTGCTAATAAATCTCTGCCTCTATTGGCCGATTTGGGGATCTCACATCTGCCTGACCTTTGGTGCCAAAGCACAAGAGGCCTTTGGGAGGCCACTGAACCCTTCGGCCACCCTCTCCTGCTGTCCTTCCGCACAGCCGCCGTGCAGCTGTCCTGAGTGGGGGTTCTCTGGTCTCGGCCTGAGGACCTTGGTGTGTCTTCCTCATTGTCCCAAAATTCCGGCAGGGGAACTGGCCCTCTGGCCTGGTCCCTGAGCATGCGTGGGGCCCAGTGTCCTGCGGTCAACGTTCCAGTGAGGATCCTGGGAGACACAGGCTCTGGCTCTGTCCTCTTCCATCTGCTTAGGGTCTCACTACCTTATGGTGCCCACTGCAATCCAGCTCTCTGGTCCCCAGAGACACCTTAAATACCTTCTCTGTCCAGGAGAGGGAGACATCAGAACACCATTTAATAGATAATAATCAATAACCCAAACAAGGGACCTGCCACTCCCAGCCTTGACTTCACACATTTATCCAGTGCAGTGGCGTAGTCCCGAGTTCTTCACATGTGGGGTTTCTTTCACCTTCTCAGTCAGCTTTCCTAGATCCCGTACTGCTCTCCAAATTCTTCACCCTCAACCTCCTTGCCTCTAATTCTGTCCTGGAACCTGAATTCGATCTCGCAGGCCACACCCACACTGCCCTTCGCCCTCAGCTTTGGCCCCTTCCCCAGTTCCGCCCTTGGCGCCTCCTGCTCTGCCCAAACCGCATGTCCTCTCCCTCCCAGGTGCCCAGGCAGATGGCGTGGTCCACATCCACGTTCCCTGCTCCTCCTTTGTCATTTCCCAAATTAAAACTGCCTGGGTTTCAGGCCCCAGTTCACTCCTGTCTCCCTTATCAGAAAACCCCTTCTGGTCTCCGCTCCACGCTCTGATGCCCCTTCTGCCTTCTGACTCTGATGTAACTCTACACCATTAAAATAACAGAAATATTACAAGGGATCTCTTGTGGTTAACCTAAAAAAAACCACAAAAAACCCTTGGGAGCTAATTGTCTTACGTATCTGCTCTGTTCCTCTGCCTGTTTTTTGTTTGTCTTGGTTTTGTGTTTTTGAGACAGGGTCTGGCTATGTAATTCAGGCTGGCCTTGCACTCACTGTGTTGGCCTCAAATTACGGTGATCCTCCTGCCTCAGCCTCCCAAGTGCTGGGATTACAAGCATGTGCCACCACACCTGCCTGTTTATCTGCCTTTGGTCTGTTTATAATAATCAACGTTGGACATCAGGAACTGTTGGGCAAGGCTCCCTGCATGGCTGAAAAAACAGCTGGCTGAGCTAATTTACTTCAGCTTCCTCTACCGTGCATGACTTCTCTGGTTTTTCCCAGGGTCCCCAACCCCTGAGATGGGAGGAAAGATTATTATTTGTCACTAAACATGCAATTTAAAAAAAAGATCCCCATACAATCACAGAGGCCATGGCATAGCCCCAAACTCCAAGCCCAAAGCAAGGAAATGCAGGGAAAAACAAACAAAATAAAATGTCAATGCCAAGGAAAAACATTACCAAAAAGATAAAGATTTTTTAAAGAGTTTATCAGTTGGGCATGGTGGCCTAAGCCTGTGATCCCAGCGGAAGGCTGAGGCAGGAAGGTCACCATGAGTTCCAGGCCAGCCTGAGATGCTACTTAGCACTACCTGGGTTCAGAGTAGAGGAAAAACTGCATAAGTGAGAGAACCCAGATCAAGGCCTGGGTGGATCAGTGGCAGCATGCGGGCCCTGGGCCTTCCTTCTCTCCCCAGTCACCCCCAGAAAAATCCAGCCCAGGCTGGGCATGAGGCACACAGCTACTCAGGAGGCTGAGCTAGGAGGATTGCTTGAGGCCAGGAGTTCAGAACCAGCCTGGGCAACACAGATGCCATTTCAAACAAAAACCCAATTCACACAAAGAAGTAGAAGCAAACAAAAACAAAAATCCCTTTATCTCAGTCCGCCCCAGAAAAACAAGTATCGGTGACCACCAGCCTGCCAGGAAGTGTCTCGGACCCAGAGGAAGACTGGTAAGATGGTGGCATTGGCAAATGTGACAATTCATAATGCTAAAGAAAAGCATAGAACTTGGGGCCAGGGATGTACTCAGCAACATAGCACCTGTCTGGCAAGCACAAGGTCCTGAGGTCAATCCCCCATACCAAAAAAAAAGTATAGAACTCAGCC